GCCATCTGAGGGCATTGAAGTTTCAAGGTTTGTGGACAGAGCATGACGCTTATCTTCATATCAAGCTATTTATAATGCGTGCAGAGCATTTTGGGCACAGATCAAGAACACAGCGGTTAACATACTTACCCACAACACCACTGTAATGTATTATGTGAAGAAGTTAGGGAGGAGCCAGCTCCAACTAGCTTTGTCAGGACACAATAAAGTTCTGGCAGCTCTGTGTCAAGGAGAGCATCATTCCCTCAGCCGCTCATTTACGAGGAGCCCAGAATTACTTTGCTGATCATCTCACCAGGAATTTCTCCCAGAATCATGAGTGGTGACTGAAAAGCAGTGTTCTGTGATCCATCTTCCGGGAATGACACATTCCTGCTATTGACCCATTTGCAACAAAGGACAACAAGAAGTGCCATCAACTTTGTTTGCAAGCAGGTCTCAGTCAAGGCTCCTTAACCGATGCATATCATCTGATTTGGTGGTCGACACTGATGTATGCTTCCCCCAATCCTATTCATTCCTCTGGTCTTCCTCAAGCTGATGCTGGATCATGCCAGACTGATTCTCATTGCACCAGCTTGGCCAAGACAATGTTGGTTCTTCAACCTCCTCTATCTTTTGGTTTGTCTTCCCATTCCCATTCCTATTCCTTTTCCTTTTCACCCTGACCTACGGACTCAATGTTATGGTCAGATTTCACATCCAGTGCTGATCAGTCTGTATTTCACAGCATGGATGCTGTGTCGTTAGTTAAGGAAGAGGAGTGCTGTTCCAAAACTATTTGACAGGTAATAGTAGAAAGCCCTTACTAGGGCTACTTATTTGGCTAAGTGGAAATGTTTTTCAATTTGGTCCCTAGCTCGGGGAATTCAACTGATGCATGTCTGCATTCAGGACACTTTGGAGCATCTGTTACACCTTCAGTCCTCTGGTTTATCTCTCAGTTCACCGAGGGTGCATTGGGCGGCAATTCTGGTGTTTCATCATCTGGTCCAAGAGAAATCAGTTTTATTGAACTCCATAGTAGTGAGATTTCTGAGAGGGATAATTTGTCTCCTTCCCACTGGTGAAGAGAGTGATTCCTTTGTGGGGCCTTAGTAGTGGGCTGGCTGTCCTCATGGGTCCTCCATATGAGCCCTGGGCAACTTGTTCTCAGTCTCTCAAATGCCAAAATACAGTGTTTCTTGTCATAATTGCTGCTGCGAGGAGAGTTTGAGAGTTGCAGGCCCTAATGGCTTCCCTATACTAATTTTTTTTTTAAGACAAGATGGTCTTGGGGCTACATCCTAAATTTTTATGTAAAGGGATGTCACAATTTCATCTCCAGTCCAGCAATATACTTATCTGTATTTTTTCCCCAAGGCTCACTTGACCACAGATGAACAGCATCTTAGTTCTTCGGTTGTGAGATGAAGCTTGGCATTTTATTTGGAAAGAGCTAAGCCTATTCATTCATCACCTTGATTTTTTATTTCTGACGCAGATTGCATGAAGGACCAAGTAGTCTCTGTGCAAACCGTTTCAAGGTGGATATCATTCTGCATTATTATGGTGTATGGGATAGCTTGGACTTTGCTTAGGGCCTTTTCAAATAAGCTCATAACCTCTCTGGAGGCAGAGTTGATCGTATTCCTCTGTGATGTTCTGATATGGGACATTTGCAGGGCTGCTCCTTGGTCTTCCCTATATACTTTTACCAAACATTATGCTATTATGACTGCAGTTAGATCAGATGCAAACTTTGGAAAGGCAGTTCTGCAGTCCTTCTTGAAGTAGGCTCCAAGCCTGAACTCCACTAGTTACAGCTTGCGAGTCACCTGAATGGAATACATGTCTGCAAGAACTCGAAGAAAAAACCGATACCTACCTGTACGGTAACTGTTGCTCTTTGAGATGTGGGTGGAGATCATACATGACAAATGCGTAGAAAAAAAAAACACAGAAATTGGGCTTGTTTTTGACTTAATTAGCTTGTGAGCTGCTTGTTGGCTAATTTTTGGCTTGTTGCTTGTTTTGCTTGTAGCTTGTTGCTTCTCTTTTTTGATCGGCTCTTGGCAAGGAGAGGCAAACAAGGGCGGGTGTCAAGGTGGGGCAAGAGGGGAGAGAGTCAGGGTCGCACAGTGGGTCCACCACAGTCCCTGACTGCACGCCAGGGGGATCTAGTCACACAGAGTGTTGGGGTTCTTAGGGATCAGCTTGTTTTGGCCTTGTTTTGAAATGGAATTAGCTGATTTTTGGCTTACTGTGACAGTCAGGGTGCTTATTTACCATGTGAAAGTTGGCAACTGTGGTGCAAATGCGTATTCCACAGCCGACCCTCCATCCTCTCTGCGGGGAATCGGAGTGGGACTGCCCTTAAATTCCCATTGGAAGAATTATGGGGCCAGAAGGCGTCAGTACCACCCTTATAAATAGTGCTAGGCAAAGTTCTGTAGCTTTGGTGTGCTGGGTGTGCACACGTCTCGTGGAATACATTTCTGCACTCTCACTTTGAAGAGCAACAATTACAGTACAGGTAGGCACTCTGGTTTTTTCTGTATACCAAAGAAAATTAAGTATTTAGAAAGTAGAATCATAGAATATCAGGGTTGGAAGGGACCTCAGGAGGTCATCTAGTCCAACCCCCTGCTCAAAGCAGGACCAGTCCCCAACTAAATCATCCCAGCCAGGGCTTTGTCAAGCCTGACCTTAAAAATGTCTAAGGAAGGAGATTCCACCACCTCCCTAGGTAACGCATTCCAGTGTTTCACTACTCTCCTAGTGAAAAAGTTTTTCCTAATATCCGACCTAAACCTCCCCCATAGAATCTTTCTATATGTTCTAGCCTTCCTGTTTCATAAGAAGAAGTACACTTTATTTGGTAGGTGTGTAGCTGGGGTTAGTTATTTTATTTTTTAAATCAATGACAGCTACATTGCCACAATCTCTCTAACCCAGTGATGCTATATTGTCTGAGGTAATAATATAACTTCAAATTCTGATGGTAAAAGTAGGACAAAATGAATTTGATTTCTGTTAGACAACTGGCTTTGTTTTCCTTTGAAGCCTTTTATTTCAATTTCAGATTCTTAATTTTTGGTAGCAATTCTTTAGCCAATGTGCAACCCCAGACCTCCCCAAAAACATCTCATTACAGGTAACCTAGGCCTTATCCATATCATAGCTAATTCACATGTTTGTTCTGCCCTGCAGTAACTCTATATTACTTTGGTTACATGCTCTCCCTCTGCAATGTACAATGTAAACACAGCAGTTAAAAACGAAGACTAGAATATTGTCTTCATTTATTAACTAAATAAATGATACAGTGTATGTTTTATTCTTTCTGTGCTTTGTTACTCATTATATATGTATCTGCTTTGTTCACGTCTGTTAAATGATTGGGTTGACCTGACAGTAGCAGTGGCGCAGAAAGATGGGGGAAAAAAACCCCTAAACCCTGTAATGTATGCAAGGACTTGTTGAATGCTCTGGTGGGGAAAATTCCTTCCGTACCCTCAGCAGAAACAGTTTACTTTCAGGAGAGAAGGTGCTTGTCAGATGCAGACAGGGAAACTATTCAGGCACAATGTGCAGCACTGGAAAAAAGGAGGTGCAAGATAAAAAGATAGGGAAGTGTGTGGGGAAAATGTGAGTAGAAATGCAGCTATGATAAGATTACAAAAAAAAACCCAAAACCTTACGGATGAGGACAAGGAGTTTGAATATGAACTGGTAGACAGGAAGCCATTCAGGGAGCTCAAAGCAGGGGATGAGGTGCTCATCATTCTGGGAGATGGTTATTTTTGCAGAGAATTTGGGGCATGCTGGCTGAGGGAGAAGTGAGAGGTCCGAGGCCAGACATCAAAGTTACAATAATCAAGGAGATAATGACCAGGACATGGAGAATAGTTTTAGCAATGAGGAAGGAACAGATTTTGGAATTATTAAGATGGAACAAGTGGCAAGATTTAGTGAAAGACTGGATATGGGGGAATGGAGAGAGAAGTAAAATGTAATACCAAGGCTACAGTCTTGGGAGACTTCTTCAGGATCCTCCTCTCTAGATTCCCTAATATACACACACTGTCCCTCACCAGTTAATACAAAATGTAGCTGCTGCTATTATCTTCCTTGTGTGATGAGCTGATCATGTCACTCCCCTCTTTGAATCTCTCCAGTGGCTCCCCATCTGCTCTTCCATACTTATATTCGCTTGTCAAGTTTTGTGTCACCCTCCAGGAACATTCCACACATCTGTCAGTCTCTCAAACAATCTCTTCCATGACTCTCTTCACTCAGCATTCAAGTAAAGTATAGAAGGTTATGAACTTGTTTGCAAGGGCCATATCCCGCCCGCTTTTAAGTCTCACATAAAAATCCATTTATGCTAGGCTGCCTACAGTGAATCTTATTGATATATAACAAACCCCTTTTTGTTATTCCCTTTCTCTGACCGCTGTCTGTCTGCCATCCATCCCTACACCGTGAACTCGATGGGGCAGGGATTATCTTTTCCTGAGTATTTGGAAAGTGCGCACCTTACTGTAGTTGCTACTGCAAACAAATAATAATTGTAGAATTTTGTTCCCGCAAACTCTCTGTTCTAGTAAAGTATATCCACATGTCACTAATACAGGGGTGGGCAAACTTTTTGGCCTGAGAGCCACATCTGGGTATGGAAATTGTATGGCAGGCCATGAATGCTCATGAAATTGGGGTTGGGTCAGGAAAATGCGGGCAAAGGAAGCTCTACAAGGGCATGGTAACAACCAGAAGGCCAAAGGCTGTCCAACTACTTGTGTCAGGGCATAGAGGGCCCCCCAGTTTTCTGTGCCTTTTCTGGTGGGCCTGGGGAATGGATTCTCAAGCAGGAAGCGTTGTTAGTGTGTACATGTTTTTGTTTTGTTTTTCTAATATGTAGTAGAAAAACTGTCTTCATGTGTCGACTTAATTCTTCTTTTCCACCTTAATGTAGCTCTTGTTTGTGTACTAATATTACTGATTGTTTCTTGTTTCAGCTATTTGTACAAGAATGAAATCCAGTCAATTGACAGGCAAGCATTTAAAGGACTTGCCTCTCTAGAACAACTGTAAGTGCCTTTTCTCTTCTGTGCTGTCATCTACGTGGTTGCCTTTCAGAGGAAAAGTGCACGTCTTGATCAGTATTTTCTGCCTGCATGCCTTGCATGTCTGCACTGGAATGGGATATTAGTCAAACATTGTTATAATCGTTTGCATGTGAAAAAACAAAATTGATCAGTGTCAAATTCTTCATTTCTATGTGTGTCTTTTATTTGTGATTTACATTCCAAGTGTCCTAGTGTACTATGCAGTAGACTTGGAGAAGAAGCATGATCACAGACAAATATTGAAAACAATGTGCATTAATTAGAGATTCAAGGTCTGATTCTGCTTTCGTCTACATAGGTTTTACAATGCTCCAACTCCTATGACTGCACTGGAGTTGCTCTTGTTTTACACTGGTGTAAATGAAGGTTTGAGTCGAGCCCTGAAATTTATTTCAGTGCTTTTCTCTTTCATTTAAAAACCCTTTTAAATTAAAATATGAATATTATTGATACACATGTGGCTGATCATTGCCATATATTGGGGGAGGCAGAGGGTGGGAGTGGGAGTGGTATCCTCATTGTCTGTAATGTGGAAAGCGTTTCAGTTTTCTGCTAGCAACATTGTGTAAGCTATTGTTCTTTTACTGAGTTTCAAGTGAAGAAGAATTTAATTTGAAAATGAATGGAAAATAGCCTGTACTAGTACAATTAAAAAGGAATGTATTGTTTTGGCTATGTGTTTGGTTATTCACAGTTTACTTAATCAGAAAACAGTTCACCATTACACAGTAATTCAAGAAGTACTAGGACTGGTAGAAGCAGCGATAACTAAATAGATAATATTGCAGATCTGTTTGCAAAGTCCTGAAGTCTTAAATTTCCATTCATTTTGCAGTGGATTTTTGCTTTGCAGGGTGAATTTCATTGTCTGTCATTGAGTTCCTATAAAAGAGAATCTCCTTTCCTGTAGGGCAATAGGAATTTTGAGTTTCCAGACTATATTCATATGTCTGTATTTATACTATACATACCTGTCTCTGCATTTTTATTCGTCATATGAAGTTTTATATGCAAGAAAACTACACACACACACCATTTATACAATCCATATACGCATATTTTAGAGGGCACTTGGGTGCATTTTACGGGAACAGGTTCTGTTTAGTTACTAAGTGTGAAACACATATGATAACTGTCATTTGTCTCCTTAATGCCTTTCTCTTCCTCCCTCTCTAGCACTGGTTACTGCAGCATACTGACAGCAACTGGTAGTGCTTACTTACATGCTAATAGCAAATCTTATTTTCTTCATAGTACATTAATTATTTAGGTGCGCCTGTTAAAGTACTAACTTCTGTAAAATAGTAAGCTTTCAGCTTATTCACAGGTGTGAGATGCTATAGGTAGCAAAAGACAGGTTTTCCCATGCACTGCCTTACTAGTGATCTGTCTGCATTATGACTGGGAGATCTAACTCTCCGTGGGGGTAAATATCGCATACTTTATGTTCCTCTGGTTTAGATCTCAATTGTGCACAGACTCTCTGGTTTGAGAATTGTCATGTAGTATTTAATTTAAGAAATGACTTAAGACTGATGGTCTCAAGTCATTACTTGTCAACTTCATTTCCATATGGGATTGAAGAGTCTTAGATTTTGACAGTTCCCGTTTTAGTTGTAAAGGTGTGGAGCGACATCTGAAGTCCTGCTTCACTTGGATTATGTTTGTTACCCCAAGCAGTGAATATAACTTAGTTGCTCTTTTGAACAGTCTCCCCATTATGGAAACAATATAATTCTGTTAAATGTATATGCTAATATTACATCTTATATAGTACTTTTTATTTGTGTATATTAAAAGGAAGGGGAAGTATTATTATCGTCAATTTACAGATGTGGAAACTGAGGCACATATATGAAATGTTTTGCCAAAGGTTACACAGCAGGTCAGTGGCAGAGCTTGGAAATAAAATCAAAGTCGTCTGATAGTCTAGCGCCTTATCCACAACACTGTGCTGCTTCACTATATTCAGATCAATACAGGCTTCTTATTTTCTTTAATTATTAACGAATTTCCTTCCTAGGTTTACTGACTAAGCCAAATTTTGGACTCCAGTACACAGTGAAACTCCTTCTGAAGTCCTGAGAATTGCATGTACATATCGAAAGGAAAAATTTAGTTCATAATATTTGTTTGGCATTCACACAGAATGAAACTGGAAGTTTGTGTGTGTGTATATTTTATTGTTACTCTATTCAGTTAAAATTTATATATGTATACATTTTAATTTAATAGAGTAACAGAAAGTTTTGTTTGTTTCTTACCTGTGTTCCCTTAAGTTATGATGTTGAGAGAGAAAAAACAAGTATAGTTAGCCCCCTATGATTGTCCGCAGGCAGGATTCCACTTTTCCCATAGGCTCTTTGGCATCATCCTCACCTAATGACTCATTAGAAACCTCCCATCCACCCTCCGAATTCAGCAACTGGAGTAGCATCTCTGGACCAGATTCTGATCTTTTTTGTACCAGCGTAAATCCAGTAAAGTCAGCAGGGTCGTGCATCCTCAACACCACTGAAAAATCAAGTCAAATTTATTTAGATACCTGAATATTAAGTCAGTCATGGCAAATTGGAAGTGCCACAGATACCTAATGTGATGGATGACAGATATTTTTTTAGCCCTGGTCACAGAAGCTGATTCCTTAATAAAATGAAATTCTGAGCTTGTATGTATTATATCCTGTGGTCTCTTCCCCACATCTTTCCTCCCAAGTAACTAACATATTCTAAAGAGCAATGCTATAGTACTTTTCGCACAAGGAGAATAAAACCTTTTCTGTGAAATCCTTCTAACAAGAGAAGCCTTCCTTTCCATAATGCTAATTGAATTATTGAAGTTTTAGCTATTTAATTTTAGTAGAATGTTAATTATGTATATGATTTTCATATTAACATACTTCTGCTTGTTATAACTTCACCTGTTCTAATATAAGAGCTATGCATTCAGCCTGCATACAGATGTACATGTTCTTTGTTAACTGAGTCGTAATAGAGTGAAATCTTACATACTATACTACAGTTTCTGAAACCAATATTTATCGTGATTTTTTCTATTAAGTTTTCTGTGGTTTTGAAATGTTAGTATAAAAAGATGACAACTTCTTTGGAACAAAGACTGCCTTTTTATTATGTGTTTGTACAGCATCTAGCATAATGGGAACTTGATCCTTGATTGGGGCCTCTATGACTTGGGTACCTAGATGCTATGGTAATATAAATAAATAATAATATTAATAATAATAATACATAATATGCACTAGCACAATACCTACAATAAATAGTAATAGTAAAAGGGGAGCATTTTGCAAAACAAATGCAGAAGTTCTTTTGATCAGTTTTGAATAAAACTGTTCACAATGGCCTTTTTAAACACTCAGTGTAATATTATTGCTGACATACTTAAACATTCAGTACATAATTGGTATTAACTATGGGTTTAAACACCCCCCCCATCCCCACCCCCCCAAAAAAAAAGATCTGGAGGTATTATTAGACAAGAACAATTGACAGATTTCAAACTATACTACAGACTATAAACTTAAACTCAGTCCGTATTCTAGAGTGCTTGCACCATATAGCTGTCCATTGTAGCTGATGATGGTACCATGGCATGATGTGTTCTCATGTCTATGATGCGTGAATGCCTGTGCACTAAGTTTTTTAAGTGAGAAGACTATTGCACAGAGGCAATCTCACTCTCTCAGCTGCTGAAGTCAAAGACTAATGGCATGCGGGGATGCAACAACTGGTGGTTGTCTTCAAGATATGAAATCTGCTGCCCAATTGATTGCAGTTAGTTTGTGGATTATATTGTTGCTAGCCTTTATGTTGGCAGTGGTCTTCATCAGATCCAGAACTACTCCAAGATATTTCAGGAAATCCTTGTGCCTGAGTTTGGTGTCACAGAAGGTGACATTCAGGTGCTTCTTTGCATGTTGGTTGATCAGATGGAACATGGAGACAGCTGTTTTTGAGGATTAAGTCATAGTTGCCATAACCTGTAAGACACCTACAGCTTGATCAGATCTTATGCTAGGGTGCTTGCGCTTGGGTGAAAGTACTCATTTGAATTGAGAGTGTGAGATCATCTGTGTATCCAAATTTCAGTGACTAGGTCAATGGATATAAATATTAAAGAACAATGGTGCCAAGATGGATCTTTGTGTGAGCCTGTTTTTCATTAAACAAGGTAGGCTGGTCTGTTTTATTAGATGTATGCAAAACTTGTGATTGGTGAATTTCAAAATACTTAAACAAGGAGGTTTATATGGGTTGTTGGTACAAACAAAAGTGAATAAGAGTCATAAATAATAGAGCACAGTACAGAGAACGAGGAACTCTAGAGTTCTAGTCGTAGTCCTAGTTTTGGAATTGAATTTGTGACCTTAGCCTCTACTGGAGCTAGTCAAACTCTTAGTTGCAAATAATTTCTTCTTCTTTAGATTTGGCCCCTTCTCTAGCCATGGATTGCCTGAGAAATAGATCAGGATTTATATTTTGTTATTATTCAAAATTAGTTCAAATAACTTCACAAATATATTTGAGTTTATGGCTAGTTATGAATTATTCATTATCAAGTAGAGTATTTCTGTAGTTTAGCTGTTTGGCCTGGTTTCTGATTCTGTGACCTAACGTCTATAAACCACGTGAGTGCCTGAAGAAACTGAGATGTTAAATCTCTCAGGAAAAGGATGGAGAGCACTTTAGGGAGAGAATCAGAGGAGACAAAAAGGGGAAAGGATTTATTGATACTGAAGGTCTGCCCTATCTTCTGCACAAGAAATAGCTATGTATTTTGACAGTATGAACCTTTATGCATATGAATGTATGTTGGCTAGGTACACTGGCTCCAGGTGTAAAAAAATTCTGAGTTCCTCCATGATTTAGCAGAGAGAAGGTCACAAGCCAGATTTATTGGCTGTCTAATAGATTTGACATTAAAATTTCACTTGTCACATTAACCTAGTCTTATTGCTTTGACTGTTTCTCTGGTCCCCCTGCTGGGACCACTTATTGGCGTACACTTTCTCCTTGATGATAGTGCTGAGGCTGATGTGCCTCTTTCCTGTCAGCAGCCCATCAACATTGGATTGTTGGACACTTGTCTGGTTGCTAAACCATGTATGTGGCCCTGTACTGTGAAAGGAGTAGTTTTACAGGGCAGTGGTTTCTGAGATTATTTATCCCCACTGTTTTTTTTTCCCCATCCCTCTGCCCACTTGATTTCCAATATCTGGCCATGTGGACCTTGCTTTTTGGTCTGGAGCTGAAACATGGTCAGAGTGTTTCCAAGAAAGAGTTTCTGCTCTTTAAATGTCTTCCATCTTCTCATGCTGAGGAGTTGTTTTTTTGGTGGTGGTTTTTTTTTTAGTTTGTTTTTAATTACTGTTTTTTCCATATTTTCATTAAGCTCCTCCCGAAACATTCATGTGGGGGGAGAAAAGTGGGGCAGGATGTAATCAGCATCTGATTACAAGCATATTCACAAATCCTTTCCCAAGCTGCTCCCACAGCTCTGCTTCCTGTTTACTCATCTGTAAAGTTTGGTTAACACATTTCTGACAGAACTGTTAATACTCACTAAAATTTATAAACCAGTATGAACCTAACCTTGCAGCCCTTGATCATGAATAGCCTGTTACCATTAGTGGAACTATTCATGTGAGTAAGGATTGCAGATTCAGACCTTCCATAAGTGCCAAGCATTTTTTTAATATCCAAGGCTTTTGTACTCCAGAAGGAACTTTTAATAGCCAATATATACACCAAATAGAGGGTATCTTTTTCTTTTTAATGTTGCAGTTAGATGTCTATTCATACATCAGACAGTAATAACTATTGGGTAAACTTTTGCAGAGGAGATCTGTCCAGTTGGTGATACAGCCCACCTGCACTGATTTTGTGTTTATGAATTTGTCTGAGAATAGTATGCTTCTGGTTAGAGAAGAGGAGTGTTTAATTTTTTTTTTAATTTTTTTTTTTGAGAGGGGAAAAGAGGAGGTTAGAATTGCCACAACTTACTGATAGGGCAGTGTATTACAGGCAAAAGACCTCTCTTGGGACAGCATCTTTGGAAAGGTTTCAGTCATTCTCATGACATTCAAAAGGCTGGATACCAAAAACTGTTATTGAAGGTTGCAAATCTTTACCAATAAAGCTATAACTTTTTCCTACAGAAAATTGTTTCGTATTCATTTATTCAACTTCATAAAATAAATCAAGTGACTTCATATGGTGGTCTGGGTGGATTCTCTAGGAAAATATGATAGTTGAAGGAGAGAGGGTCAGAAAATGTAAAGCCAATATTTCTCTAAAAGCCCTGATCCTACTGTAAATAAAACAAGTTTTATTACATATTAACTGGTTGATCCAAAACTTGTAGAAAAGATACTGGTTTTGCATTTCTAATATTAGTTGATAATACCTGTCTGGCTTTTTATGAAAAAAATGGTTTTTTGGATCTGTGAGCTTAGGTTTTTTGCAAATACTATAATCTGTCTTTTCTTATCAGTCCTATGATACACGTGGGCTTACTGATTGTCCCATAAGATTTTTGTAAATATTTAGTTTTGACAGAAGATTGTTTGAAGTATGATGAGTTGATATTAATATATTGTTATTTTTACCAATATAATAGCAACTTTTAAAACCTTCCTATTATGTAAGGCCTCTTTCTTTCATGGAAAAGTGTATAATCCAAAAGACAATTATGCTATTACATTATTAACCTGTAGTCATTTACAGATGTGTTCGGCAGCATGAGAAGTCCTTTACATACCAAGTTTCTAGCTGCACAGTATTACTTTTATTAAATACATTTCAGTGATGTTTTGTTTAAAACATTTACAGGTATCTGCACTTTAATCACATAGAAACATTGGAACCTGAATCCTTTACGCATCTTCCAAAACTTGAAAGACTGTAAGTTTTATTTTTGTTTGGAAATGTTGGTAAACGGCAGTAGTCAAATAGCTTCTTTGTCTGACCCAGATCAATAGTGTGGAAAATGAGAAAAAACTTTCTTATCTTTAATGCAGCTTTTATTTTGTACTGAAACTTTCATGGTGTAAGACACTGAGGAGCAAAGTGCTGAGCACCTTCTGGCAAGTGTGGAGCACCTTTATCTCCCAGTGACTTCTGGTCAGGCCCTAGATTGGGGAAATGGTTTAATAACACAGTTTTGTGTACAATTTTCAATCTCAAAATGAGTTCAAAACCATTCTGATTGACGTTAGTCTATCATAAAATAGATTGTACGAAACATGACATAGGACGATTAAATTTTTGTATAAATAGCTTATTTGTTTACTTCCCCCCACTTGTCTGTCATGTTTTATGTAGTTTTGTCTCCAGTGTTGACTAAAAATGTTTCTTTCTTGGATGGAGGAGGAGATGAGGAAAGGGAAGCCTTTTTAAAAAAAAAAAGTAGCAGAAGAAAGTTGATTTAAAAAATGCTTATTTGCATGTTGTAAAATTCGTATCTCTTTAAGGAATTCCAGAAGAATGTATATGGAATGAAAACATTTCAAAATCTGAACTCATACATGAACTCCTCTGTGTTTTTAACAGATTTTTGCATAATAACAGAATAGCTCATTTGGTTCCTGGGACATTTAGTCATCTGGAATCTATGAAGAGACTGTAAGTAAATTAAATGTACATACAGAAAGAATTGAAATAGTCTAATTATACTTATGTCTTATCTTAAAGTGTTCACGTCCTTTGGCAGTCTGTTCCACTGCCTAATTGTTCTTACCATTAAAGAACCTAGTCTAAACTTTTCCTTCCATGGTCTATATTCTCCAGTCTTTTGTGACTGTGACTAAACCCCTTCCTTGCTTTATTATCTTGAATTTATGTATAGACTGTGGCCTTGTCTGCAATGAGTCTTCTGTTTTGTAGACTAAATAAACTTAGCTTCTACAATCTTTCCTCCTACTGTTTTAAATTCCTTTGATCTTCTTTTATAAGATTTGTTGCCCATTGTATTTTCTCGAGGTTGCTTTTTCTAGATCCGTCCTAAACTGTAGAGACTAGGCGTAAAATGATCTAAAGTGACGTAGGCACTTTGGCCCAAGTTCACAAAGGGACGTAGTCATTGCAACACTTAACTTTCAGGTGCTAGCTACCCAGTGGAATCTTCAAACCTTGAATTAGTTGCCTAGGCTGCCTATACAATGAATGAGGAGAGATAGAAGCCTAATAATGGGCTCCACAAAAACAAGCATGCTCAGCGGGAAGTCACGTAAGTTAGCCAATAGCAGATGCCATGGAGATCATTGTGTCCTAAGCCCTGACTCTCTCAGAGCATTAGGCACCTAAGATCCATTCCCCTCGAGAATGGAGGTGGCACATGCCTAACTCTATTCAAAATGGCCCAGAGAAGAAGGCAGTAGCCTCCCTTATGACCATTAGTCCAGTGTTTAAGGCACTCATCCGGAATGTGGGAGACCCCCAGTTCAATTCCTCCCTCTACCTGACAAGGGGAAGGTATTTGAACATGGGTGGCCCACCTCTCAGATGAATGCCCTTAGCTATTGGACTATGGGATATTCTACTGTGGGTCTCTCTCAGCCTCACCTGTTGAAGCTGTTCCATTATGTATATAAATAATTAATTATGCATTGGGCCAGAGAATGAGTGAGAGTGACTCCATAGTCCAATAGTTAGGCACTAACCTGAGAGGTGAGAAACTCATGTTCAAATCTCTTCTCATTGCAGACAAGGGAGTTGAACCAGGATTTCCCGCATCCTGGGGGAGTTTCCTAAACACTGGTCTAAAGGTTAAAAAGGGAGTTCTCCTTTCAGCCATTTTGTGTAGAGTTAGGTGTCCTCAAAAACAGTGACCAAATCGGGGTCTGTAGGTAGGATAGGTGGGGGAACTATTATTGAATGATGAGGATAAAAAGTATTGAATAGTCTGAGACAGAGAGCGCTGTCTGTCCTGTACAGTGATTGAGTATTGGTCTACGGGGGAGGGGGGGAGGGAATAGTATTTGATGATGTAATTAAAGACTGTATCATAATGCATATGCACAAGGGGACCTAGATGGCTTTCTTTTAATGTAGGTTTTTGTATGTAAGAATAAATAGACGGGGAATATTGCCAGGTCATATAAAATCTAATCAATTGTTCCAGCTGATTAGGAAGACTAATGGATGATACTCATTTTACACAGGCGTTTAGATTCAAATGCTCTGCATTGTGACTGTGAAATCCTATGGCTGGCAGATTTGTTGAAGACATATGCAGAATCTGGTAATGCTCAAGCAGCAGCTACTTGTGAGTATCCAAGGAGGATCCAGGGACGATCAGTGGCCACAATAACACCAGAAGAACTTAACTGTGGTGAGTTTTCCACTTAATGTTCAAGAAAAAAAATTAAATATTTCCAAAACCACCTATGTTTTTCATGGGATTTTTTCCCCATTGTATTGGCCAGTGATGCCAATAGCTACTTTCTGGCCATCTCCAAGTATATCTTCTCTGTATCCCTTCCCCACAGTCTGTCTGCTGCTTTTTGATACAGATGATCACTCACTCCACTCAGTCTCTGCTCTCGGCTTCTTTGACCATACTGTTCTGCTTTTCCTCCTATATCTCCACTTGCTCACTTTTTAATATAGTCTCTTCACCTCTCCTTCTGTCTCCCGCCTCTTTTTAACATCACATTAGTTGATAGTGCAATGGCACAATTCCATTTCTCAGCGTAGACAAGCCCCATGAGGGGGAATAAGCCTAAGAACTGAGCATGATCATCCTGAAAAGATTTTTTTTTCCTTAACAGCTTTCTGTATTTGTCTGCTTCAACTGTAGAAATCGAGAGAGATCCATATCAGAATATCTCATAGCCCAGCAGTTAGGTTACTCTGCTGAGAGACCTTTGTTCAAATCCTTTGGCCCCATCAGGCAGAGGGAGGAATTGAAGCTGTGGGGGTCTCACATCCTGATGAGTACTCTAACCACTGGGCTAAAAGTTAAGAGAGACAGCACTGGAACCAACACCACCTCTTCCTCCTCGGTCTGGTAGGCATACTCATAGCATGCCTACTGGATCAGGCAAGAGAGGCAGAGGAGCATCTGTTTTCACATGGTTTAAGGATCCCTCTCAGGCTTAGGTGTGAGACAGGCATCTAGGGTGTTGTGTCCATTCCCAGAGGCAGAAACTTAGGCACCTAGGGAACTTTTTCCGTGGAAATTTAGGCACTGAGTAAGTTTAGGCACCTACAGGGTTAGATGGCAGCCAAGCAAGGGTTTTGTGGGTCACAGTGGCACCTAAATCTGGGATCTAGGTTCCTATGTTCCTTTGTGGATAATGGACCACAGTAAACACAGGATGATAACCTTAAGTAGTCAAGATGCCAAAAATTCAACAATAAATACGTCTGTATAAGGGATGTGCAGACATGAAATAATTGAACATTTAGTGAAGATAAAACCAGAAAGTATACTGGAGAGATTACTTTGTACATTTGTATGATAAGCAATGGAATACACAAAGCTGGCTTCTGAGCTTGCCTTCTTTGCATTCAAAACCCCTGTTGACTCCAGAAGGATACCTGAACATAAAAAGAATGCAAGCTGGAGTCTTTAGTGGTCAGTTTTGAAGTTTAATATTTTTTATACTACATTGCTCCTCAGACAATGCAAAGAGGGAAGGAAACGGGATCGTTAAGGAATTGTTCCTGATTCCTCTGAAGTCAGTGTTAAATCTCTCATAGACGTCAGTGGGAGTAAGATTAGGTCATTGGATTTCTATCACTCAGTCAAGTTTGAGAAGGTTAGTCTACACATATACTGAAGAGTTTTGTTACTGTAAAGTTACTGTTACTTATGTTGCAATACTTTGCCATGCTATAGCCCAAAAATATTCCACTAGCCAGTATAGTTTTAAATGGCACTGTGTTGGCTAGAACCTCGCTTTTGTAATGCAAATCAAATCTCTGTAAAACTAAATATATACAAAATTCTTTGCTTCAGAATCTGATATAAATTTACACAAGTGTCATAAATATAAAGGGAAGGGTAAACGCCTTTAAAATCCCTCCTGGCCAGAGGAAAAATCCTCTCACCTGTAAAGGGTTAAGAAGCTAAAGGTAACCTCCCTGGCACCTGACCAAAATGACCAATGAGGAGACAAGATACTTTCAAAAGCTGGGAGGAGGGAGAAAAACAAAGGGTCTGTATCTGTCTGTATGATGCTTTTGCTGGGGACAGAACAGGAATGGAGTCTTAGAACTTAGTAAGTAATCTAGCTAGGTATGTGTTAATTATGATTTCTTTAAATGGCTGAGAAAATAGCTGTGCTGAATAGAATGACTATTCCTGTCTGTGTGTCTTTTTTGTAACTTAAGGTTTAGCCTAGAGGGATTCTCTATGTTTTGAATCTAATTACCCTGTAAGGTATTTACCATTCTGATTTTACAGAGATGATTCTTTTTTACTTCTATTAAAAGTCTTCTTGTAAGGAAACTGAATGCTTTTTCATTGTTCTAAGATCCAAAGGTGACCCTGTGGTCACCTATGCAAATTGGTGAGGATTATCATCAAACCTTCCCCAGGAAGTGGGGTGCAAGGGTTGGGAGGATTTTGGGGGGAAAGACGTGTCCAAACTACGTTTTCTGAGGAAAGTTTGGTGGTGGCAGTGGAAGTCCAAGGGTAAAATAGTTTGTACCGTGGGGAAGTTTTAACCTAAGCTAGTAAAAGTAAGCTTAAGGGCTTTTCATGCAGGTCCCCACATCTGTACCCTAGAGTTCAGAGTGGGGAAGGAACCTTGACACAAGCCATTTTTCAGTTTTCTAAATTGACAGTAGTAAATGTTGAGAGAGGTCAGAAAACCAATGATAATTTTGTGTAGAGAAAAATGTGTTTAATCTTGATTGAATCTATGAAGTATTTTTACTTGAAACATTTGTGAAAAATGTTCATCTACATACAGTGTGGGGGGAAAATAAATATTTAATTATTTACTTTAATCGTTTTAAAACAAGCAAGGTTTCCTTGATACCGTTTATTGTTGATACAGAGAGGCCAAGAATTACGTCGGAACCTCAGGATGTGGACGTTACCTCAGGGAATACAGTGTACTTCACTTGCAGAGCTGAAGGCAATCCCAAACCAGAAATTATCTGGCTTCGAAACAAGTAAGTTAAGGAAAAAAAGGAGAGAGAGAGAAATTGTTTGTATATGTTTGCTTTACAGTTGGTGTATGAAATTCACCATTCATGTACACAAACATGAACTTAAGAACATCATATTAGTATTATAAAAAGTTAATATATTGGCAATTATAACTAGATCTGGTTTCTTTGCAATTCAAAGTATAACAATCATATAATAAAGATAATAATTTTATCATTATAATTTTATAGCCCTCTGTGGAGATAGAGGTGGTTAGGGACTATTTAGAAAAGCTGGACGTGCACAAGTCCATGGGGCCGGACGAGTTGCATCCGAGAGTGCTGAAGGAATTGGCGGCTGTGATTGCAGAGCCATTGGCCATTATCTTTGAAAACTCGTGGTGAACGGGGGAAGTCCCGGATGACTGGAAAAAGGCTAATGTAGTGCCAATCTTTAAAAAAGGGAAGAAAGAGGATCCTGGGAACTACAGGCCAGTCAGCCTCACCTCAGTCCCTGGAAAAATCATGGAGCAGGTCCTCAAAGAATCAATCCTGAAGCACTTGCATGAGAGGAAAGTGATCAGGAACAGCCAGCATGGATTCACCAAGGGAAGGTCATGCCTGACTAATCTAATCGCCTTTTATGATGAGATTACTGGTTCTGTGGATGAAGGGAAAGCAGTGGATGTATTGTTTCTTGACTTTAGCAAAGCTTTTGACACGGTCTCCCACAGTATTCTTGTCAGCAAGTTAAGGAAGTATGGGCTGGATGAATGCATTATAAGGTGGGTAGAAAGCTGGCTAGATTGTCGGGCTCAACGGGTAGTGATCTATGGCTCCATGTCTAGTTGGCAGCCGGTATCAAGTGGAGTGCCCCAGGGGTCGGTCCTGGGGCCGGTTTTGTTCAATATCTTCATAAATGATCTGGAGGATGGTATGGATTGCACTCTCAGCAAATTTGCGGATGATACTAAACTGGGAGGAGTGGTAGATACACTGGAGGGCAGGGATAGGATACAGAAGGACCTAGACAAATTGGAGGATTGGGCCAAAAGAAATCTGATGAGGTTCAATAAGGATAAGTGCAGGGTCCTGCACTTAGGACGGAAGAACCCAATGCACAGCTACAGACTAGGGACCGAATGGCTAGGCAGCAGTTCTGCGGAAAAGGACCTAGGGGTGACAGTGGACGAGAAGCTGGATATGAGTCAGCAGTGTGCCCTTGTTGCCAAAAAGGCCAATGGCATTTTGGGATGTATAAGTAGGGGCATAGCGAGCAGATCGAGGGACGTGATCGTTCCCCTCTATTCGACATTGGTGAGGCCTCATCTGGAGTACTGTGTCCAGTTTTGGGCCCCACACTTCAAGAAGGATGTGGATAAATTGGAGAGAGTCCAGCGAAGGGCAACAAAAATGATTAGGGGTCTGGAACACATGAGTTATGAGGAGAGGCTGAGGGAACTGGGATTGTTTAGCCTGCAGAAGAGAAGAATGAGGGGGGATTTGATAGCTGCTTTCAACTACCTGAAAGGGGGTTCCAAAGAGGATGGCTCTAGACTGTTCTCAATGGTAGCAGATGACAGAACGAGGAGTAATGGTCTCAAGTTGCAGTGGGGGAGGTTTAGATTGGATATTAGGAAAAACTTTTTCACTAAGAGGGTGGTGAAACACTGGAATGCGTTACCTAGGGAGGTGGTAGAATCTCCTTCCTTAGAGGTTTTTAAGGTCAGGCTTGACAAAGCCCTGGCTGGGATGATTTAACTGGCAATTGGTCCTGCTTCGAGCAGGGGTTGGACTAGATGACCTTCTGGGGTCCCTTCCAACCCTGATATTCTATGATTCTATGATTCTAAGAACCTTTTTCTAATAAGGAACTTGATATATGATATTATGATACCATGGGCAATTTTTTCAACTGCACTTGCACCCACAAAATTTCAGAGACCTGCAAAACTCTACAGTAACTATACTAATAGGCTTTTGTATATAAAGATCAGGTAATTCTATAAATGCATGTAATATGTAGTTTGCAGGTGCAGCAGGTGTTGGTGCATTTTGTCCAAGTGCACCCATTGTTTTATTACCTACTATGTGATATCTGTCTGCAGACCCTATGCTGTAGCTAGAAGATCAATTTCCATCCTGAATTAATATCACTTTAACAAATCAAAGAGAAACCTAGAGAGCTACTTTTAAACATGAGATGGTAAAATATTTTATAGATTTAAAAAAAAAAAACTTTAAAATCTCAACACTGAAAACATCACCTTTTTATAATCAACAAAAGCATGTGTTCAAAATCCACATATGAAAGAGTTTTAAGTAGAAATAAGAGAGATTCGAGTGTGGGTTTATTGACACTGGCTTGAGACATTTAGAGATGTTTGGCAATGAGAACAATTGATATCCTGAATAAAAAATGGAAATGGATGTGTGTAACTCACTCTTTGTTTTTTCCTCCAAACTGTATAAAACATTTATACTTATAAGATTAGTCAAGCTTTTCAGTTCTGAAGTCAGAATGTTTACATTTTTTAAAATGTCACACTGTTGGTATTCATCTCTGATGCTTTTGTTAATTTAAGACTAAAAGTTCTATTATTACACTTACTAGTGGACTTAAGACGCTAAAGATTTATTCTTGTAGGTTACATTTGTTAGTACAATTAGACTTTTTTCTTTTATATGTTTTTTCTGTGCTTTTGATTTAAAAGTTTTAGTTCAGCAGATTTCTGTCTTTACAGTAATGAGCTCAGTATGAAAACAGATTCCCGTCTCAACTTACTAGATGATGGCACTCTGATGATTCAGAATACTCAAGAGACAGACCAGGGTATTTACCAGTGTATGGCGAAAAATGTGGCAGGAGAAGTGAAAACTCAAGAAGTTACTCTTAGATACTTTGGGTCACCAGGTAAATAGATTTTAGATACAGAATTGTTTGTTTTTTTATTAATCAGAAGACCACTTTCATAATGAAGTACATTTGCTTTTATGCGTTAACTGCAGGTTTGTATTTCCTGTGCATCTTTGCAACTTTATTTGCATCACCATCTGGTTATTGCAGTCCTAGAAATTATCAAACCATTATATTGATTGTATTATACCATTGATTGTATTATACCATTTAATCAGAGTAATAATGTAGGTTATCTTTAGTAGTATATGAGGGAAGGAAGAAGAGAATTAAATGGTGCTGTTGTTCTAGTGTCTGATCTTTAGAGACCTGACTTAAGATGCTCAAAACAAAAATAACAATGCCACTCACCCAGTTTAATGGGTGGAAGACTTGAATGGACCTGTAATGTGCCAGACAGGTTTAGAATGAAAAGGGGAGTCTATCAGACATGCCAAACCCGGGAAAAAAAATGCAGAAATAGGGTTTGTTTTTGGCTTAATTGGCTTGTGAGTTGCTTGTTGGCTAATTTTTGGCTTGTTGCTTGTTTGGTTTGTAGCTTGTTTCTTGTTGTAGCTTGTTACTACTTTTTTTTTTTTTTTTTTTTTGATCGGCTCCCAGCAAGCAAGGGCAAGGGAGGGAGAGAGTCAGGGGTGCAGAGCAGGCCCATCACAGTCCCAAACAGCATGCTGGCGGGGGGGGGGGGGGGGGGGAATCTAGTCACATAGAGGATTGGGGTTCTTAGGGATTGGCTTGTTTTGAAATGGGATTAGCTTGATTTTTGTTTTATTGTGAAAATCAGGGTGCGTGAAACTTGGCAACTGTGGACTCTATGCAGGCGTAGGACTCTTCTTCTCCTGGACACTCCGCCATCCATTGTCCAGACAGAGGGAGATGGGAGCTAATTGGCTCCTTGCTTCCCACAATCATTCATTGAAAACATTGCCCAGGGCTTCTCAAGGGTCTTGCCCATTTCAGCTGCCCATTTTAGGGGTGGGTATGGTCCTGAGTGATGGTAGGTGGTAGGAAACCTGTAAACCCTGCACTGGACCTACTTCAATGGGTGGTACAGGGAGATGAGACACATAGTACCCTTCCTCCATATTAACTTTAATAAAGTTTTGGCCTAATATTTTAAATCCATCCTTGTGTCTGTCCTCATTCACTTGCAAGTCCTGCTTTAACGAGCTGTTTTGGCACATTACAAAATCAAACAGTTTCTGGTTTCTGCTCAAGAAAGGCCAAGAATGGAGAATAGCAAAAGTGGTACAGGTCAATCATGAGATGCATTGGAGATGCATTGCAGAGGACTAAACAATACTTTTGTACAACCCCTTCTGGCACTGTGTCAGAGTCTTGCCTGTGTTTCATATATGAGCACTAACTTAACCCGCAGAATTGTTTTATGGAGATGTATTATATATGTTTAAAGCAGGGGTCTCAAACTCAATTTACTTTAGGGCTAGGGCCAGTCCTCAGACCTCCCGGTGGGCCAGTAATGTCACTGAAGATGGTGTTCAGAAAAGAAAACATTTATGTTGTATTTTTTTAAAAAATTTCTTAGAAATAATAAAACTGTCGTACAATTCTTTGCCTGCTGGAGAGTTTTTAGTGTTTGCCAGACACCTGGCAATGCTTCAGTTCTGTCGGTTTGTTGATGTTTGGCCTCAGTGACTGAGCAGTTGAAACCTTCAGGATTGCAGCAAGGTGGGCATCAGATAGTTGTGTTCGGTATTTTGACTTGTTTTTATTCATTGTGGAAAAAAGTGATGCTACCTCCATAGGTGACTCTGCCTGGCAACTAATGATGCTGCCTCCATGTTTGACTCTGCCCAGCGACTAGTGATAGTATCTCTGTCCCTCTCCCCCAGCCAATGGGTGCTGTGGGGGGCGGCGCCTGTAGCAGACATTGCATGCAGCGTCTCTCCAGCACGGGCCACAAATGGGGAGGTTCTCGGGCTGCGGATGGCCCACGGGCTGGGACTTTGAGACCCCTGGTTTAAAGGGACACCAGCAACTTAAAAATTCCATTCCTGAAAATGTTGTACCTACTTTAGTCACAAATTACACTTATGATTGCTATAATTGAAAAGTTATTTAAAACCATTTTTATCTCCTCCCCCACCCTCTCTTTGTGCATTAAACAGCACTTTGTCTATAGTCAGTTTGTTTTCTTTGTATCAGTTTCTTTCTTGGTGAAAAGAACCTTTTAAACAGCAACAGATTATCAAAAGTGTGCTTTGTGCTCTGATATTTTTTCATAAATTCCTTAAACACAATTTTATAAGGGTTTTTCTTCTAGCCTGTTGATGTTTATAAGGGTCTGGAAATGGATGAAAGCCACATTTAAGCATGGTTCTCTTCTGATAGCCAGGCCAAGTTTTGTGATCCACCCACAAAATACAGAAGTATTAGTTGGAGAAAGTGTTACTTTGGAATGCAGTGCAACTGGCCACCCGCAACCGCGGATCACATGGACAAAAGGCGACAGAACCCCTTTACCAAATGATCCTCGCATCACAATAACTCCTTCAGGAGGCCTTTATATACAAAATGTGAACCAGGAAGATAGTGGCGAGTATACCTGTTTTGCAACCAACAGTATAGATAATATCCATGCAACTGCTTACATCATAGTGCAAGGTAAGTAATATTAAACAAGGAAAGACATTATATTTTTCAAAAATTAATTCAAAGGAAACATATTTCCATTCTGTTTTCTAAATTGCTGGAAATGAATTAGACCATAAGTGCATTATTTTAATTGTGTACCCTGTTCCCTCTCCTAATATAGTCAATGGGATTTTGCCATTGACTTCAGCGAGAGCAGAATCTCAGGCCCTTAATTTAGAAATAAAACTTCGGAAGAATTATACACAAATGTTTATATCCCATTCATATTTTGAAATGTCTGCTGCTCAAGATTTTGTCTGCTGGTCTGTTTATATAATCACATGTATACATACTGCCAGTGCCAAGTTTGTGTGGGACTCAAATATTTTCTGCAGCTGGCATGTCTAAAGATTAATATGTACACATGTACTACTGGACGTGGAGTTCTGAGTGTGGTTCTGTGTCTCCCATCTTTCCTAATCATTTTTCTTTTGACTGATTTGCTGCATGGAAGCTAGCAATCCCTCCAGCCCCCGTATCATTTGTACAGCTCTTCTGTGAACTGGCAATTATAGTAGTACAAATTATTGTAATCAGAGTAACTTTATTTTCAGCATAATTTGCCAAAAGCCTAGAATATAAAATATTTTCAGGAACACTATATGCAATAAATTTCTTTTATACGTAGGCTATTACTCTTTAGTCTTTAAAGCTGGAAGTGATTTTTCCTTAGGTTTCTAATATCTTTTAAAAATTTAAATTTGTTCTTTCCTCATCAGTTTTGGTATTTTCCCACTTTTTTTTCTTTTAGATTGTAAACTCCTTAGAGCAAGAACCATGTCACCCAATACATACTTATTTTTCAAATTATAGAAAACAAATTGCCCTTATGTGTTTAGTTCCACTTTTCCATCAACTAATGGGTGGATGTATTTTGAGAACTGAACAAATGCCCGCTCTCATTGGTAATGCCACAATGTTACTGCAGAAGCTGGCCTATACCGTTGTTCATTGGTTTTCTTTTGTATAAAGGCACTGTGTGTGTGTTACAAGAAAAGAGCAGCTCAGGCTGGTTGTGATCACATTGTGTTTTCTTCATAATTTAGTTGAGGATTTTTTTAAAGAAAGAAAGAAAGCAAGATATTTTGAATCCAGAGAACATTCTCTACTTGATTATACCAGTCTTAAGGTACATCATATTTTGGATCTATTATGATTATGATTATGATTATGATTTATTATTTATTTGTATTACAGTAATGCCTAGAGATCCCAACTGAGATCAGGGCCCCATTGTGCTAGGCTCTGTTCATATATGTAAGAGAGAATTCATGCCCCAAAGAGCTTACAATCTAAAAGAGCTAGCAGGATCCCTTTCCCCACAGAACTGTGCAAGTCACATAGAAAATAAGTAATATCAACCAATGGAACATCTTTCAATTGTTGTTTAACAAGTTTTTTTCTCCCTCCTGTAGCTGTACCTCAATTTACTGTCACTCCTCAAGACAGAGTAGTGATTGAGGGCCACACTGTAGATTTCCCTTGTGAAGCGCAAGGCTATCCACAGCCCGTTATTGCCTGGACCAAAGGAGGTAAGAAGTTGATTCGAGGTTTTACTTTTAAACCTTTAAAATATTACATCCCTTTAGGAATCACTTATGAAATAGCACAAAATGTATATGTGTGTGCTATACAATTTCCTTAAAAGCTTCTTAGTCTCTGATGGAAGATGTCAATTTGGTTAGTTAATGTAGAACACTTAGTAGTTATAAATCTAAGTAGATTAAACATATAATGTGATAATCTTTAACTGCCATCTGTAAAATGTTTGTACAAGAAATATTCTTTCCATTCATGTGGAGCAGATGAAAGACTTTGGCATGGGCATAGGGGTCCACTCTAGTCGACTACATTTCAGGAATGGTACTGTAAAGATGCTAGGCCAAATTCAGGGGTGATAGAAATGATAGTGTACATAAGATCAGTAATAGATCTACTACGTGTACCAACATGTGGAAGGGTGAGGTTATAGCAGGAAAAGCAACTCACAGGGGGTTGTAAGTGGTGACAGATACAGCAGAGTTCCAGTAAGAACTTGATCATTGAGGCACTGACAGTGTCTATGGATTTTCCCTCTCCTCCGCTTCCTGAGGTGGCTCCAAACAAATGTTATGTACAGTGGCCACAGATGAAAACAAATAGAGTGTGGTGGAAAGGTAGCGGGGTGGGTGGACAAGACTGGCACTCAGCCTTATTTTGGTGCGTTTTTTTTCATTCCTTTTATGCTGGTATATCCGGTTCTGCAGAGCCGTACACTTTTTTTCTGATAGTTAGGTGGGCGAGATGGAGAGAAAAGATGAATGGTGAATATTCTTCCTACGTGATGACATGAAAGTAACAATGCTCTTCATTTGCATCCTTCCTATAGTGATTTGTTGACTTGATGCTTCGTGGGTGTGAATATCATGCTTTCCTCTGTTTTCTGCTGAAAAAGTAGATGTGGAAGAGGTCAGGAACATGAGGGCTGGTCTCCACAGAAATCAGTATAGTGGCATCGCTGCAGCTGTGCCGCTGTAGCGCTTCAGTAAAGATGCTCCCTATGCTGATGGGAGAACCTCTCCCATCAGCTTAGTTACTCCACCTCCCTGAGAGGCAGTAGTTAGGTTGATGGAAGAATTCTTCCATTGACCTAGCACTGTCTATACCAGGGGTTGGGTCAACGTTACTGCATTGTTTAGGGTTGTGGATTTTTTACACCCCTGAGCGATGTAGTTATACCGACCTGATTTCCTAGTGTAGACCATGCCGCAGTGTGTGTTCTGGAGAGTAGATAGTAGTTTCAAAACATTTTTTCTAAATAATTTGTTTTGTGAAACCTTACTTTTTTATTTAAAAAATTGTATAGGTTTTATCAAATACTAAATGGCTCTGAGTTGTGTCTGAAATATAGATAGTATTTTATTTTACATGGCTGTAATTGGTAAATAACAAATGCTGTGTTTCAGGGAGCCAACTCTCTGTAGATAGAAGACATCTAGTACTATCATCTGGAACACTGAGGATTTCCGGAGTTGCTCTACATGACCAAGGCCAATACGAATGTCAAGCCGTCAACATTGTAGGATCCCAAAGAACAGCTGTACAGTTAACAGTACAACCTAGAGGTATAGTCACTATATCCATATTTGCATCTGTTTAGAAAAAGTACATTTAGGGCCAGCTATTGCGGAAGTATCAAGTGAAGTTAGGCAATTAAATACCTTTATAAATATGAGTCTTAGACTTATGTTAAAATATTCATTGGAATGCTTGACTTATTCTTTTCCTCTTGGAAACCATGCTTGAAACTTGGAGTTAATATTTATGAGGTTTGAGTCAAACAATTTTGTTTTAAAAGGCACCTTTTAACTTTGCTTCTTTTACTTCATCGTGATAGAATTCAAATATTTAGTTAGCAAAGATAGGCTCCTCTCCTGGAGAGCTTATCTTCTTCAGCACTTAGCACCCCGATCCTGCTTGGAGCCTCTGGGTGCTTCCATAATACTACTACTAATAATAGTAATAATAATAATTTAACCTAAGTGTGGACTTAGTTTAGAGGAAGAAAAATGGACTGTTAATATAGATGCATACACCAGGTGCAATTCACCTCTGTCTGTAGGGCCTGCACAAGCTCTATACACGATTTACGTTTTTAAAATAGAGCTTAAGAGGAATTTAACTGGTTGTGCTCGACTTCTGCAAAGGAGTTAATTTCACCCTTGAAGACTATTCCTGATTTGCAATTTCATAGTAACTTTTATCCCAGGATCTCAGTGCAATTTAAAAATGTTAATTAAACCTCACCATACACTGTGAGGTAAGAATCTATTTATATACCCTCATTATGGATGAATAAACTGAGATACAGAAGTAAAATGTCATGTTCGGGGCAACACAGAGGCAGTGCCAGAGCCAGGGGTACAGCTTAGAACATAGTCCAGCAAATAATCTCTTAAATACATACTTTGGACACGAGTAGCCTCATAATTCAATGGGTAGCAAAGATAAGGAACTCAGTTGTCTCCGTTTGTTCAACATCTAGCTCAGTAGGACTGTGATCTTGACTGAAGTAAACAGGAATGCTCTCATGCTTATAGTTATGCATGTGTATATGTGCTTTGTTGGATCAGAGCCTAACAGAATAGGATTTTTTTTTTTTTGTCAGTTGGAAACTTTGCTGCTCATTCCGGATTCCTAGTTCATAAATTCTGACTACATGTATTTTTAGCTTCCAGTTTTCCTTACTGTTTGCTTAATAAATGAAAAGGTCAGAAGCTGACCAGTATTTATGTCAGAGTACTTTTGTTTGAAGAAAATGCTGCTGTCTTATGAGACATTTTTCTGATTATTTTTTTTTTTTTTTTTGGTGGAGGGAAGTTTACCCTTTGGATGACTGTTTTCTCAGATTTTGTGGGGTATTTTTGTGTTGTGAAAATTTTGCCTTTCTTCTGGGTCTGTTTCCCATAAGACTGCTGTACATGTGTAACTAATTAGACTGTTTTTTTTCATTATGTGTTGGTGGCCAGAACCCCAAAACTTTCTGTTCCCAGAGCAAAGGAAAGATGGCCTTCCCATAGTATTCAGTGTCATTCCTGAAACAGAAAATCAAACAACATGAAAAATGTTGTCCATTTCCCATTTTTTTTCTTTTTTCATACAACTCTACATAATTTGCCTCTAAGGATTAAGTAGGAACATTTTAGTTTGTGTTTTGTACTTGATTCTCTGTGTTGACATATCAGTGTTTCAAGTAATATTACTAATTGAAAATGTTTTTGAATTACATGTTTAATCTCACTGAGTTCAGTCCTTGCTCAGGGAAAATACCCATTGACTTCAGCTAAAAATAACAACACTGACCTCAGTGAGGAATCTAGAGTGGACAAGGACAGAAGCTGCGGGACTAGAAAATTATGTTCACTGAGTAAACTCATTAATTAAAGTTAAATCTAAATGTTGCTGAATTTATACAAATTATTACATTCAAGAAACTATGTTAAAACAATGTTATTTATGTTGCAAAGTCAATCACACAGAAGTTAGAAAATGCCACAAGAAGTTGCCTGTGCCACAGAATAGGTGGTGCTCACTTAATGAGAAGTTACTCAAAATTTTGTTTTCGCCTTATTGTTCAATATGTTGCCCCATGCCTTAATTGCAGTAGACCCTACTTAGACCCTACTCTGAGGACAGAACGATTCCTTTTTGCCTGAGCTGTTCTATGGTGCTCATCACTATAGTATCTGCTTCACAAATATTAATGAATTTATTTTCGCAACACCTCTGTGAGATGAGGAAGTACTATTGTCCCCATTTTGCTCATGGGGAACAGGGGCACACACAGATGTAGGTCAAAAGTATCCATTAGTTTTGGGTACCAGTTTGAGACACCTGGGACCTGATTTTTTTTTTCAGAGTACTTAGCATTACATACCACTTTATATGTCGAAAGCCCAGCTCCCATTGTCTCCAGTTCTCAGCACTTCTGACATTTCAGTGTCTGGATGGGAGGGCACAGACTCCTCTGCCCATTCCCCCAACCATGACCCTTTGTGCCCTGTCCCCTCCCACCTGTCCCAATCCTGTCTCTCTCCTCATTTCTCACCCCAGTCCCATTCTCCTCACGTAGCCAGTCCCAGTCTCCACTCTTCAGGCTTCTCATCCCAGGCCCAATCTTATAGCCCAGCAAGTCCTAGTCTCACCCCTTTGGACTACCTCACTGTTCTCAGTCCCAATCTCTCCCGCAGTGGCCCAGCTGCGTGTCCCAGCCAGTCGCAGTCCCTCCCACCCTTGTCTCCTCATCTTATGTCTTTTCTCTCCCCAACCCACATCCATCTTCCTCGTCCCCACTAGCTTCCTGTCCCAACCTCCCTTCCTGTGCTCCTCGTCCAATCTCAGTGTCTCCCCATCAATCCCGCCAGCTCCTTGTCCCAGTCTCTTTGTCCAACCAGTCCCACTTCTCCTTCCACCTTGCTTCTCATCAGCTCTGTCTACCCTTCCCTTCTTTCCCCCATCCCACTGGTCCTTGCTCAGCCAGAACTTTTTCTCAGTCCCCACTGCAGCTCCTCATCTGGTGTCAGTCTTCCATCCATCTAAGTTCCAGCCCCTTCCCTCTTGGCTTGGCTTCTAGTCTTCTTGTCCAGCTAGTCTCAGTTCCCCCCACCTCCCTGACTCCCGGATCAAGTCTCTTTGCCTAGCTTGACTAAGTTTTCCCCATCAGTCCAATTTCCCCCTCATGCCTCTGCAAATCTTCAGTCAGTCTCTCACCACCTGGCTCTTTATCCCAGTCTACTCCCCCATTGCCCGCACAGGTCCAGCTCTTGTCCCCTCTGTATTCAAATCACTCAGTTTTTTCCTTCATACATCCTAGGCCTAGCAGGGGGCCTATTGAAAGCACAGGGGAGAGTCTCCCAATTCTCAGTTCCTGTGCCTGGACCCAGCATGACCTGCAGCAGCCCATAGATGCAATCACATGGTAAGTCCTGCTCATGTCTTGGGTGGAACATGCCCAATGTGCATTGAATCTTTGGGGGAATTTAGCTGCTAAAATCTAAGTTGTCTTAACAGAACATTTGTGAACTACAAATTTAAAAGAAAAGTCTTCCAACTTTAAAAAATTTGGTCAGATTGGCCAGAAAAAAGCACATCCCTCACAGAAAGGCCATACATATCCCTGTCAGATTTCGAGTGCCTGCTCCAAAGCATGGCACTAGAACTATTCAAAAAAGATCTCCAGGGACAATAAAGCATTTTAACATAGGCAAAACAACATATTTTTCCATAGCTTCATGCTTGGAAGTGGCTGCACTATTCTGCCTAAAATTTTCTTCAAAGAAAATTTAGCCGGAGGAAAATGGAAAATTTCAGCCCAGTGGTTAAAGTTTGGCAAAGTAACAAGCAACTGAAAAGAAGTTCTTATAATGGGAAGTGTTGGGGAAATAGGTAGTGGTATGAGCCCCATCTATAATTCTTGTTCTGAATTTTTTGTGTACAAATAATAGGATGAGTAGTTTATTTGAAAAAGTTTTCCTGTTTTTAGTGCCATAATAAAGACTCAGTTGTATCTGCAGCTCTTATTGCATTCATTCAGCTAAGTTGTTGTAGTATGTGATTTTGAACTATGCCTTTGTAATTTTCTTTATTGTACAAACATAAAATACTTTCACATTTTTTCATTGTGTCCATGTAACATCATTTTAGTTACCCCTGTGTTTGCTAACGTTCCGAGTGATATGACAGTAGAAGTTGGCATAAACGTTCAGATTCCATGCAGTTCTCAAGGAGAGCCTGAGCCAGTAATAACATGGAATAAGGTAATAAATCTTTGTCAGATTGCTTTAGAGTGCAGTGGCTTTTTCAGATTTCACCACCGTTAAATCAGGCTTTATTAGGTGCGCTGTGGCTGATTGTTGCTTGTTCTGTGTCTAACCTCAAATGACATCAGCAGCTGCCGAGGGTGTTCAGAGTGTAGGTACTTAACCTGAGAATTCTACGTGACAGTGACACAGCTTTTGCCCAGGGGCTGTGCCACCGAAGTACTGTAGTGTAGATGCTTCTTACCATTGGAGAAGGGGTTTTTCCGTTGATGTAGGCAATCAGCCTCTCCAAGAGGCGATAGCTGGTTTGATGGAAGAATTCCATCAACCTAGCTGCATCTACAATGGTGGGTAGGGTGACCTAAGGACATTGCACAGGGTGTGAAATTTTTCACATCCCTGAGTGATGTACCTAGGTTGATCTAAGTTTTGGGAATAGAGCAGGCCTATGGAGCACCTCTAATACAGGAACTGTGCCTAAAATTCGCATTCCAGGTTTGAAAAAGGATGTTCAAAGTTATTGCAAAGGCTTTTCTATTTCAGTTTTGTGCAGCTCTGAAAATTACAAGTCTATGTCAAGAATAGGATAAGGACTCCTTGCAGACATTTTTGCTGGCATTGCAGAGGCCCAAGACAGTACTGTAGCTTCAACCATGAGAGTGGTTGGTGATTCATGGTGAAGTTGTTGAATTGTACCTTTCTGTCTGTGCTTGTTTGACAAATATTTTTTAAAATATTTTCTGTATATGAGAGTATCTTAATGGAAAAAATCTCACACAGAAATGTTATGCTAAACAAATGAAAACTAACGCAAGCAAGAAAGATCAGGCAGGCCTCCCACTCAGTGTTCGATTTCCACTGTGGTCTTAACCATTGCAGGAATCTGACAACCGCGGGTGATCCTATGTAGCATGCTACACTGCCCTAGTGTCCAATGACACGCGTTAAGAATAAAGCGCCAACATGAATCTTGAATTTCCTTGATTCTCATACCACTATAATACTTTTTAATTGTTTCATAACAAGTCTCCCCACACGCCACAACTTTCAAAAACATGTTTTTTGTAAATGACTGCAGATACATAACACATGGATGAGATGAATATCACTTTCAATTAGGACTCACTGCATTTTGATTGCCTTATTCTTGACAGTTCTTTGGCCTCCTTTTCTTCCTTGGATTTGTGTGGTTTTGGTTTTTGTTCTTTAGTTGCATGTGCTAACCTTGTTTTGTTTCCCATTCTTTCTATCAATGATTAATTGATTTCTTTTGGTAGTTGACTTTCCTGATGCTTAATGGGTTGGCCTTTTGCCATCTATGTTTCATATGATGATTGTGTATCTGGGTTGGTTGGCTTCTAATTTTTTAATTATTTTGCATTGTATTTTTTTCTTGATCTCTTGCAGCAAGCACTTCCATACATTTTTAAATAAAAATAAATTATTCAAAATTTGATTGACTATTTTAGCTTAATGTTCATTGTATATCCTGCAGGGAACAGTGTCTGCTTTCCCATCTCATTTTGGCAAGAGCCAGGGAGCCCTCATTACCACTATGCCTTGCTCCCTACCCCTTTCTGGTGGTTGAGAAGCCCAGTAGCCTTTAGTTTATTAAAAAATAAAACCTCTGCTGAATCCTGCCATTGTTGCTGTATTCACACTCGACTGCAATCTGAATCTTCTGTGATTTTTATGTTCCAGAGTACACTGCATTGCACATCTGAAAACTAATCTACAATTAGTAATCTACAATAAGAACATAAGAATGGTCATACTGGATCAGACCAATGGTCCATCCAGCCCAGTATCCTGTCTACTGACAGTGGCCAATGTCAGGTGCCCCAGAAGGAGTGAACCTAACAGGTGGTAATCAAGTGATCTCTCTCCTTCCATCCATCTCCACCCTCTGACAAACAGAGGCTAGGGACACCATTCCGTACCCACCCTGGCTAATAGCCATTAATGGACTTAACCTCCATGAATTTATCCAGTTCTCTTTTAAACCCTGTTATAGTCCTTGCCTTCACAACCCCCTCAGGCAAGGAGTCCCACAGGTTGACTGTGCGCTGAGTGAAGAAGAACTTCCTTTTATTTGTTTTAAACCTGCTGTCCATTAATTTCATTTGGTGGCTCCTAGTTCTTGTATTATGAGAACAAGTAAATAACTTTTCCTTATTCTCTTTCTCCACACCACTCATGACTTTATATACCTCTATCATATCCCCCCTTAGTCTCCTCTTTTCCAAGCTGAAAAGTCTTAGCCTCTTTAATCTCTCTTCATACGGGACCCTTTCCAAACCCCTAATCATTTTAGTTGCCCTTTTCTGAACCTTTTCTAATGCCAGTATATCTTTTTTGGGATGAGGGGACCATGTCTGTATGCAATATTCAAGATGTGGGCGTATCATGGATTTATATAAGGGCAATAAGATCTTCTCCGTCTTATTCTCTATCCCTTTTTAAATGATTCCTAACATCCCGTTTGCTTTTTTGACTGCCGCTCAACACTGCATGGACGTCTACAGAGAACTATCCACAATGACTCCAAGATCTTTCTCCTGATGAGTTGTAGCTAAATTAGCCCCCATCATATTGTATGTATAGTTGGAGGTTTTTTTTTCCAATATGGATTACTTTACAGTTATCCACATTAAATTTCATTTGCCATTGTGTTGTCCAATCATTTAGTTTTGTGAGATCTTTTTGAAGTACTTCACAGTCTGCTTTGGTCTTAACTATCTTGAGCAGTTTAGTATTGTCTGCAAACTTTGCCACCTCACTGTTTACCCCTTTCTCCAGATCATTTATGCGTAGGTTGAATAGGATTGGTCCTAGGACCGACCCTTGGGGAACACCACTAGTTACCCCTCTCCGTTCTTAAAATTTACCATTTATTCCTATCTTTTGTTCCCTGTCTTTTAACCAGTTCTCAATCAATGAAAGGATCTTCTCTCTTATTCCATGGCAACTTCATTTATGTAAGAGCCTTTGGTGAGGGACCTTGTCAAAGGCTTTATGGAAATCTAAGTACACTGTGTCCACTGGATCCCCCTTGTCCACATGTTTGTTTGACCCACCTCAAAGAACTCTAATAGATTAGTAAGACTTGGTCTCCCTTTACAGAAACCATGTTGACTTTTGTGCAACAATTTGTGTTCTTCTATGTGTCTGACAATTTTATTCTTTACTGTTGTTTCAACTAATTTGCCCGGTACTGACGTTAGACTTACCGGTCTGTAATTTCCAGGATCACCTCTAGAGCCCTTCTTAAATATTGGCGTTACATTAGCTATCATCCAGTCATTGGGTACAATAGCTAATTTAAAGGACAGGTTACAAACCATAGTTAATGGTTCCGCAATTTCACATTTGAGTTCTTTCAGAACTCTTGGGTGAATGCCATCTGGTCCCGGTGACTTGTTACTGTTAAGTTTCTCAATTCATTGCAAAACCTCCTCTAGTGACACTTCAGTCTGTGACAATTCCTGAGATTTGTCACCTACAAAAGATGGCTCAGGTTTGGGAATCTCCCTAATATTCTCAGCCGTGAAGACTGAAGCAAATAATACATTTAGTTTCTCTGCAATGACTTTATCGTCTTTAAGTGCTCCTTTTGTATCTCGATCATCCAGGGGCTGGTTGTTTATCAGGCTTCCTGCTTCTGATGTACTTAAACATTTTGTTGTTACCTTTTGAGTTTTTGGCTAGCTGTTCTTCAAACTTTGGCTTTTCTTATTATATTTTTACATTTAATTTGGCAGTGTTTATGCTCCTTTCTATTTACCTCACTAGGATTTGACTTCCCCTTTTTAAAAGATGCCTTTTTATCTCTCACTGCTTCTTTTAATGGTTGTTAAGCCACGGTGGCTCTTTTTTAGTTTTTACTGTGTTTTTTAATTTGGGGTATACATTTAAGTTGAGCCTCTATTATGGTGTCTTTGACAAGTGTCCATGCAGCTTGCAGGGATTTCACTCTAGTCACTGTACCTTTTAATTTCTGTTTAACTAACCTCTTCATTTTTGCATAGTTCCTCTTTCTGAAATTAAATGGCACAGTGTTGGGCTGTTGAGGTGTTCTTCCCACCACAGGAATGTTAAATGTTATTATATTATGGTCACTATTTCCAAGTGGTCCTGTTATAGTTACCTCTTGGACCAGATCCTGCGCTTCACTCAGGACTAGAAAGAGCGTTGTCTCTCCCCTTGTGGGTTCCTGTACCAGCTGCTGCAAGAAACAGTCATTTAAAGTAAAGAGAAATTTTGTCTCTGCATTTTGTCCTGAGGTGACATGTACCCAGTCAATATGGGGATAATTGAAATCCCCCACTATTATTGAGTTTTTTTTATTTTGATAGCCTCTCTAATCTCCCTTAGCATTTCAGCATCGCTATCACTGTCCTGGTCAGGTGGTCGATAATAGATCCCTACTGTTATATTCTTCTTACAGCATGGAATTACTGTCCATTGAGATTCTGTGGAACATGTGGATTCATTTAAGATTTGTATTTCATTTGATTCTACATTTTCTTTCACATATAGTGCCACCTCGCCCACCCTCCTGCGCGACCTGTTCTGTCCTTCGGATATATTTTGTGCCCCGGAATGATTGCGTCCCATTGATTGTTCTCACTCCACCAGGTTTCTGTGATGCCTGTTATATCAATATCCTCCTTAACACGAGGCACTCTAGTTCACCCATCTTATTATTTAGACTTCTAGCATTTGTGTACAAGCATGTTAAAAACTTGTCACTGTTTCTTTGACTGACCTTTTCTGATGTGTCAGATCATTTGTGAATGTTTCTCGTCTGATCTAGCTCATACTTAGTCCTCTTTCATCCCCTCCTCCTGACTAAAACCTAGAGAATCTCTATAAATAGACTCTCCTCTAGGAGAAGTCTCTGTCTGATCCACGTGCGCCTCTCCAGCAATCGGCTTTCCCCCAGTTCTTAGTTTAAAAACTGCTCTGCAACCTTTTTAATGTTAAGTGCCAGCCGTCTGGATCCACTTTGGTTTAGGTGGAGCCCATCCTTTCTGTATAGGCTCCCCCATCCCAAAAGTTTCCCCACTTCCTAATAAATCTAAACCCCTTCCCTCTATACCCTCGTCTCATCCACGCATTGAGACTCTGAAGCTCTGCCTGCCTACCTGACCCTGCGCATGGAACTGGAAACATTTCTGAGAATGCCACCATAGAGGTCCTGGATTTCAGTCTCTTTCCTAGCAGCCTAAATTTGGCCTCCAGGATATCTCTCCTACCCTTCCCTACCTCATTGGTACCTACCTGTACCACGACCACTGGCTCCTCCCCAGCACTACACGTAAGTCTATCTAGATGCCTCGAGAGATCCACAACCTTTGCACCAGGCAGGCAAGTTACCATACGGTTCTCCCGGTCATCACAAACCCAGCTATCTATGTTTCTAATGATTGAATGTCCCATTACTAACACCTGCCTTTTCCTAATGACTGGAGTTCCCTCCCCAGGAGAGGTAACCTCAGTGCGAGAGGATACCCCAACATCATCTGGAAGGAGGGTCCCAAATATGGGAAGGTTTCCCTCTGTTACCGTTGACTGCTCTCCTTCTCTGGGCCTTTCATCCTCCATAACAGCGCAGGGGCTGTCTGACGAGAGGTGGGACAAATCTACAGTCCTGGAAAGCCTCATCAACATACCTCTCTGCCTCCCTTAGCTTCTCCAGTTCCGCCATCCTGGCTTCCAAAGCCCGTACACGGTCTCTGAGGGCCAGGAGCTCCTTGCACTGAATGCATACATATGCCACCCGCCCACAGGGCAGGTAACCATACGTGCTACACTGAGTACAATAAACAGGATATCCCCCACTCTGCTGCTGGTCTTCTGTCTGCATTTCTCCTACAGCTACCTAGGTTAATGATATGGTTTTTGTTTAAATCAAGAAGTTTTGATTATAGTGTACCTCGCCCCTCTCCCACTCCCCAACTCCCTCTCAAAACTCCCTGTTAGCGGTCCCTGTTCTCAAAGTTCCCTGGTCGCTTGCTCACTGCTTTATAAAGCCCTGGCCTTCTTGATAGCCCCGACCCCTGACTAAGGCTCAGCAATGAACAGAGGCTTCTAGATGTCAAACCTTGTTTAGAAGCTCACAGCTTCCAACTGCCGGCCACAGCACACGGTCCAATGACCACTGACATTTCTGAAATTTAATGCATACTATAAAGTATACAGTATACTCTTGGGGGGATTCTGCAGGACTGCACATCCACAGAAAATGCTGCCCTCCCCCCCGCAGATTTCCTGTGGAAAATGGCAGGGAAGCAAAGGGAAGCCGCACGGGGTGGGTGGGGCAACCATGGGCGCTTTTTTTGGTGGGGGATTTCTCCCCTCCAAACAGAAGTGAGGCATGTAGGGCACATGGGGTTCCATGCCACTGCCCGCCTCCTCCCCCTTCTTTCTGCAAGCGCAGAGCTGCCCAGGTGAAGCAGGCTGAGTTTTGGCTCAACTGAGTTTGCAGCCAGATGGTCCCTTGGCTTTTGGGAGGATGATGGGCAACCTGGTGGGACAGAGATGAAGGAAGCTGTTTCTGGTGGTTATTCAGCATGACTAAGCTGGAGTTCAAATCTGCGTAGGCATCTTTGGAGTCTCTTGTGGCTGAAAAATAACAGAACTCACCTACACACTTCAGATGGGAACTGTACATAGTGGAAACAAACAAATTATAGTGCACTTGACATCAGTTTCTCTCCAATAATGGAAACTGACCTGCAGCATGGTCAACCACTGCTCAGCTGAGAGGCAACAACAACATACTTGGAAGGCACAGAACACAGGGAAATGTGTTCAGAGCTATGGCACAGGGCCCAGCGGAGAGGGTACTGAACTCCTCATTCCTGCTGAATTGTTGGCAGTATTCCCCTCCTTCCCTGTGGAATGGGTGGGGTACTCAGATCAGGCTGCAGGGCTGAGTGCCAGCAGAGGGGCTACTGGGTACCACTGCCATGAGAGGGGACTAGGCTTTCCTCTTTTCCCAGTATTAGAGGGGGGGAAAGGTGTCTGAGTGGCAGTGTTTCTGTTCTCCCTCCTCTGAGGATAATTAGCATTTGCCAAAGCATTCAGTTACAAGAGGTTGTATTCAAGTGAATATGAATGTGAATTTGTATTCAAGTGAATTCAATCCATTCCTTACAGTATATGGCCCCGCAGAGTCTTGTTTTATTATTTGTTGGGCCTGTATTTTATATGGAAAGGGCACACAACTGAGAGGATATTTTGTGCTGCTTTTTTAAGTTTGTAGACATAATAAATATATTCCGTATACTATTCTGCATGCAAACTGTCCTGTCTCAGTAGAACTGTACAGTACTGTGAGTTATGCTGCTTTTTCTTGCTAAATTTTGTTCTCTAAACTGTAAAAAAATTTTGTATGAGATTTATTAATGGATTTCTGTTGGGTTAATTTAAATGATTGACTTGGCATATAAAATTGGTACGAAATAAAGATAATCTATTACTGTTCTCAGAACAAGTTCACACTGCCAGAAGAAAAAAAAATATTCAAAATCTAAAAACAAATTTAAAATGCTAATAAAATTGCCAGAGATGATACATTTAGAATAACGGAGCATTGTGCTTTGCTGCAGGACGGAGTTCAGGTAACAGAAAGCGGAAAATTTCATGTTAGTCCGGAGGGATTTCTTACCATTCGTGATGTTGGAACAGCTGATGAAGGTCGATATGAATGTGTTGCCCGGAATACTATTGGATACTCCTCAGTTAGCATGGTGCTAAGTGTTAATGGTAAGGTTTCTAAATTATCATGGGTAGCAAGATATGAGTTAGGTCATACTATTTATACTCTTTAACATTAAAGGCATAAACATGCAGCTTCAACACCAAAGGCCAGCTTGTGAACTCCTTCCTCACCTAAGTGATTGTGTTGATTTCAGTGAAACTACTCAGGTGAATGACAGCTAACCAATGGGAGTAAGAGGTTCAAAATCTGGCCCTTGGGGAATAAGTCATCCAAAATCTCTAATATTGAAGCATCTGTGTGACTTCATAGCCTAGCATGCTTGGAGCATATTCATGATTGAAGTCCGAAAGAATGCTTTAGGCTGCAGGGGGCCACACAAGTTTCCTCTTGAGATATTTTTTGGCTCTATCTGAATTTGCTAGTCCCATGCACAAACTGACTTTTGTGATGACTAGACAGTAAATCCTCTGGCATTTTTAAAGGTAGATCTACAATGACTAATTGGAAAATAGTTTGCTGCCACAAAGAATTCCTAAAAGTCTTAATTGTTTATAAGAAGCCAGTATAAGAACAAATTACTTGGTAAAAATATAAATAAAAATAATAGGCTGGCTGAGAGACTACCAAAATCATTTGTAATACTTCCATGCTCTTATAGAGACTAATCCCAAAGCTCTTCTTACTGATTGTACATTGAAAATTTTACACAATATAGTGTACACCTTTTTTTCCTTTAAGTAACTAATTTAAATCTAGGTAAGAATGGCACAATATCTGTGTAATATAAAATGGAAACACACTACCACATATTTTTTTTAAATATTTGGTTATTGTTTCTTGGCCTGAGTTCTGTTTCGCTCTTGCTAACTTTTATATAAATGTTTTACTGTGCTGATTGCCCTGGCCTCTGGCACATAACATAACACAAAAAAACATGCAATGCATAAAATTATATTACATGTAATAGACAATTCAGCCTTCCTCCACCCCCCGCCCCATGTACTGCTTCATCAGTGATCCGTAGTCAAACACATTTTTGACCAAAAATAAGTGGTGTGCTCTGAGCTCCAAATGTCATGAACTTGAGCTCTGTCAGAACACCAGAGGATACAAATGGCAGAGATGGGAGACCTTCACTGAAAAAATCTTTATTTCCAGTTAATGAGGAATGCAAATCTAGTGACAGGCTACAAAGGTATCAGCTGATCTCAGCCACCATGGTGATGCATAGAGAGAAAGTTCCTTAAGTTAGTCAGGTCTTAAATGTAACCTTGAATTGCCCCATAACAAATCAGAAGCCAGTGCCATTCACATAGTGCAGATGTAATGTACTAATTCTAACCAGCTCCGATAAGCAGTAGCCACAATGTTCTTCAGTGTAACTGAATAATATCATCAGACGAAACCCACTGAAGTAGTTCAACCTTGAGGTGATAAAGCCATGGTTAAGTCTGGCAATTTTCCCCCATGAACAAGGAAGGATGTCTACCTAATCATCTGAACAAACAAGGTTTAAGCCACTTATATTACCTGAGAATCCAGTGAAATGTGGCCACGTGGCACTGCACAATAATTTAGGACTAGAAGTGAAGAATATTATGCTTTATGAACTATACAATATTTAACTGATACTTAATCTCAGTTCTTCTTCTGTGTCCAGGGCCACCCAGAGGTGAGTGCAAAAGAGGCAATTTGCCCTGGGCCCCTGTTTAAGATGGCCCCCAAACTGAGTGGTGTTGTGACCTGGCACTGGGGGTCACAGCACCACTCACTCAAATTTGGCCTGGCTGCCCCTCTGTCATGATGGACGGAGGAGTGACTGGACCAAACATGAGTGGAGCTGTGACTCTGTGCTCTAGGTTGCAATGCCCAGAGCAAGGAATTGGGCCCAGTATTGCAGGACAGGAGCTGCTACTACAGGGTGAGTGCAGAGCTGGCTCACTATCCAACCCCGAACCTCTTTCTGGGGCCTCCCATTAGTAGTAATTTTTTTTAATTTTATTTTATTTTAAAAGGATGGGGGGCCTCCGTTTCAGATTCTGCCTGAGGCCTCTGTGTGGCCCTTCCTATGTCACAACATCCACAAAACCATAGCCAACAAAATTCTCTTCACCTCAATGTCGCACAGACTCAGACTGCAGTCTCTGACTATTTTCAAAGCATGATGCAAATCAAACTTTCTTACAAACTTCCCCTCATAAACAAAGTTCACAGAGCAATCTGGTATCATTTCTGGGAGATCTTTCTCCATTGTGTCCTACCCCAGATTGCAACTTTCTAAAAACTTTGGCTTAAATTTAAGGCAGGATACAATGGGGATAGAGTTTATTAATTTAAAAAACTATATTTGAAAAATTTGAACCTGCTCTTTAAAGATTAAAACACCAAAAGAAACCTCGTTGCTTGAGCTACTTTTGTAGGACCCCCATAAGTCTTCCCCCACCTTTTGAAAACATTGAGACTCTCGGTCTTTGAATGGTAAACTTGCTTACCATATCAGTCTAACAAGTGAGCGATTGGTAGCGAATATTTAAAACAAAAATAAAGTAATGCAAAAATGTCTTTAGATATCCGACCATTGCTTCCATTGTTTAGATCCTGTCATGGGTTGCTCTACTCACCGCTGGATGGTGCCGCCTCCTGGCGGTTCTGGAGATTAGCTTGGTCAGGCCGACGCCCCTTCCAGCAGTTACACCCCATCAGTTTCACCTTTGCAGCTGTTCTCTCACTCCATCAACCATAACCTTCTCTTTGTGAGTCAGCCCTCCAGCCTTCCGGGGGAGAGGGGGAAAGAGACAAGATGTGTATCAAAGTTCCTGCTCTCCAGTAATCTCAGGCAGTCTTTCACTTCACTGCCTCACAGTGCCTTTCCCACTAGCTGGCAGGGGAATCCCGGGCCCACCTGCTACTCTGGGGTCCAGCTAAGGGACCCTCTACACAGCAGCCAAGGTCCATTCCCTGCACGTTGCTGTCTTTCCCTGACCCGCTTCCATACCTCCTGGCCCTCCCCACTTCTCTGGGTTTGCCAATCTCTTCACTCCCTGGCTTGTGTTTGCCAGAAGCTAGGAATGGGTGACAGGGGATGGATCTCTTGATGATTACCTGGTCTCTTCATTCTCTCTGGGGCACCTGGCATTGGCCACTGCCGGAAGACAGGATACAGGGCTAGATGGACCTTTGGTTTGACCCAGTATGGCTGTTCTTATGTTCTCCCTGCTCCCAGGTAGTAACTTTAGGCAACTTGTCTCTGCAGCCTCTTAAACACAACTCCTTTCTCCCAGGGAGTAACTGCAACCTTCTCCCTGCCAGCCCTTTTGCTTCCAATTTCCTGTCTTTTGTAGAAACCCGCCTGTCCCTTGCAAGTGAGCTTCTCTCTAATTAACTGCCTTCAGATTAAAGCTCCACTGTTTGCAGCCTAATTAGCTGATTGGGCCCACCTGGTCTAATTCAGCTCCTGCAGGGCTGGTGTGAGGAGCTACACACCCCATCACAGATCCCAAAAATTATTTTTCCAAGTGTGTTTATCACTACTCAGAAAGACCACTCTACTGGAGCTGTAATAGAACCGGTCGCTGAGCTTCCAGTTATGCAAAAGTAGTGAAACCTTGCTCTGAAGAGTGCACTGGGTGTTTTAAAAAGCACATTGGACAAAAATATTACTGTAAAGTAAAACTTTCATGTCAAACTAACAAGAGCAAGGATGTTCAGAGTTAAAGCTGGTTTTGTATATTCACCCATCCCATTCTGGCGTATTGGCTGTGGTCTCAAAGTTACAGTGCTGTTACTTTATTAATAAAATACTTTTCACTTGTATAGCATCTTCATTTGAAGATCTCAAAGCTCTTTACAAACATTAAGCCTCATAGCAACCATGTGAGGTAGGTAATGATCAAAGAGATTATGTACCCACTGCAAACCTGCCTCTTTCCCCCCCCACCCTTACCCCCGTTCCGTCAATGTCACTTTACCAACCACTCTGGGGAATCTTTCGGTATTGCTACTGGATCTGGTGGCCCCCGACACAGGGTAGGAGAGAGGCACTAAGGGGTAGATTGTATGAACCCAGCTGCACTTCAACAGCAGCAGTGGCTGACCAAACATTTCGTAAAAAAGGTAGTTTCATGGACCCATGAGATCTTGCATTGCTAGTATTATGAAGATTTGTGGTCTATGAGCTTGTGATCTTTGTCCTAGATAATGCTGAAAATAAAACAAAGGTTTAAGGCCCCCAAAGTGGTCTCTCTTGCTTCCTAGAGAGATTCCAAGATTATAACCATGAACAAGTCCTCATAGCTACTTGGGAATCTCTAACAGCTTTTTTAGGAAAAGCCTCTTTGAACTTATGTAATACAGCTATACATGTTCTAAAATTAAAAATGAAGCCTATAAATGTGGGGCTTTTGACTGTCGTGTTTCATGTTATCCACTTAAACCCATATACTTGGGGCCCAATCCAATATCCATTGAAATAAATGGGAATGTTTCCATAGACTTTAGTGGATGCTGGTTAGGCTTTTGGTTGCAACTTTTAAGCTGCTTATATGCTGCACCACAAGCAGAAGCTGAGCTAGAATATTGAGTTCACTTTTTTGCATTGGTCATGGTTGTATAACAATTGTAAGACTACTTAACAGTTACTTAAATAGTTTTATTTATTTTTCACACACTGTCTTATTTTTACAGTAGTTTCATTTTAATTGAACACTTATTTGTAACTGGCATTTAAAAACAAAACAAAACTTAATTCTGCAGGGATGTAAATGTGTTTCAGTAGAGTTCCCAAATGATTAGTCATTTTAAATTTGGAGTAAGTAAAACTTAAGGAAATGTGGTTTTCTTTGTGAAACTGAAATGATGTAGTGTCTAGACATTGCTTTATATGAGTAACTTTTTTGTGTGCAGTAATGTTTGTAGTAATATGCAACTTCATGTTTTTCTAGTTCCTAATGTCAGTCGAAATGGAGATCCATTTGTAGCAACATCAATCGTTGAAGCAATTGCAACTGTTGACAGAGCTATAAATTCAACACGTACACATTTGTTTGACAGGTATCATGTACTTTGGGTTTTTTTTATGGGGAAGTCAAAATTAATTTTGGATATACTGAAAGAAATGCTACAATCAGTAAACCTATTTGACTACAGTACTATTACACATCTGAAAGATGAGACAATATAATGGTTTTAAATAACAAACTTCAGCATCTGGTTGATTAGTTTCTGGAGTGCTAGCAATTTAGCAAGAAACCCATGTTTTTAAATGAAAACTGCACTAAGTGCCACTGACAAACAAATTTAGCTAATAGGACTTGAATAGTTATTTCAACTATTTGGGGGGAAACAGCATGTTTAAAAAGCTTGGTTTTATTCAAAAGCCTACTGGTATTTTAATGTTGGATCTAATGCATTTTAATACAAATTTAATCTATTTGCATGTTTAAATATGTTTTTCAGTCATCTTGTATTAAATGTAGATATTTATTTTTATTTATTTTTGCCTTCCATTTTGGGATGAGTAACAAAGGTATAGTCAATCACGTCTAGTGATATCTTAAGTTGCAGAAACTTTTTAAACCATTTGTAGTCTTATAGCACTTGTGTATACACTTACTATTTTTCAATTATCTGTTAGTCGTCCTCGTTCTCCAAATGATTTGCTAGCCTTATTTCGATACCCAAGAGATCCTTACACTGTTGAGCAAGCAAGAGCTGGAGAAATATTTGAAAGGACATTGCAGTTAATTCAAGATCATGTACAAGATGGTTTAATGGTTGACCTAAATGGAACAAGTCAGTACCTTTTTCCTTACTTTCTGTGTTTTGTAGTGTATAAGTCATTTCAATTCATTATGCTTCAAGGAGTATTAATTTTAAAAGCTCTGTGCCCCACTGTGCAGCTATTACTCTTGTTGAAGTCATTGTGGCTCCTTGAGTGTGCAAGAGCTCACCAACGTGAATAAAGATTAGGTCCTTGATTCACACATTGCTATATTTTGATGTAACTTGTCTGTCTGAGATGTGCTGGTACATTATTTTAATTCTTCACTATTTGACATACTAAGGAAAAAAATGCTGCCGTCAAATTCTTCCCTCAGTTAAAAGTAATGCAGCTGAATGAAGTACATGGAGTTGCATAGGTGTTAACAAAGGGGTGAATTTGGCTAATAGTTTCTTAGAAGAATTAGAATTTTTCCATATGTACTATTAAGACAGTATTCGTATTGGTTATTGCATCAAAAGAAAACATGGGAATCCCTGTTTGTCTTATCACAGAGAGGATATAATCAAACAGCAAAGATTTGTGCACTGTTTTTGATCACTTTACAGAACAGTATTTCTGCATTTTCTGTACCAGTTTTCCTGCAGTAATTGTTACTTGTTCTTAAAGCAGAGTATAGTATCAAACTAAGCTACAACAGTTTCCTGGGAGTCTGTTCTCAAATTTAATTTGCTATTAAGAATTATGTTTTTTGTTGTTTTTTATAAATAGTAAGAAAAAAGTAAAGTTTAATATTTCTGCTCATTAACTGCTCAACTCAGAAGTTAGAATTCTAATGCCCAGCCTGAAAATTTAGAGCTAATCACACTTGCAAAGAGAACTGTAAGCTAATTGTTCTGCCGTGCCTATAAGTTCTTTCTTTTGGCAGTTGAAATGTAATGTGTCAGTGTGTGAGACTTATGACTAAAGCCTTTGGAAATAATGATGGAGTTTTAGGAGAGATGCTGAGGTGTGGCAGGTAGCCAAATGTTACAGCTAGACTGGAATCTGAGGAAATATTTTAACTTATAAATACTACTTTTGATGTTTATAATTGAGAATTTCACTGGAACTTCCTAAAACTTTAACTGTGACCCTGAATTAGGCAAATATGTACAAGGCCAAAGACTGTAAGCTTAGTAGAATTAAACCACTATAAGATTTGTTAGTAAAAATGGACAGTTACTCATAATGCTGAGCAAACAATTTGCAAGGAATAATTTGTCTCACAAATTTGACTTCTTATTTGACTACAGAACATCCACAAACAGATCATAATTTCATTGAGTTTGCTGCTAATCATTCAGAATCGTTTGACATTTTCTTCAATATTTTTAACTACAAATTGCAAGTATTTAAATCTTAACATTTGAGAAATTGCAGTTTATTAGGATAATCACAGGGTTATTTTGTTTGTTCTATGGTTGGATGCAAGTATTTGTAGTATAAATACTAGTGCATCCAAATCTAACATTCTTTTTTCATGAATACTCATGTATGAAACACTGAAATTTAATTTTTATCAACTTTAATGCTAGTAAAAACAATCATTCTAATGTTCGCTGAAAGTGAATACAATAGGATCATGAGCATGTCCAAAGTGAATTCATTTAAAAAGTCAAGCTAATTATCTCAGACAACATTTTATAGTGTTGAAAACTATTCACAACCAGAGCTGGCTTTTGGTCCCTGCAAAATCCACAGCCATGGCCCAAGGATTTCGCAAAACTAGAAATGTAAAGAGAATCTGTTTTCATTTAAACACCCTCCCCCTAAATTTCTAACCCTAGTCCTTGCACTTGCTTGGTTTGTGTTTTCAAAGCTAACAAATGTAAGCTGCTACTAAAGTTGAAAAGAACAAGTGGATGGGTCCCACTTTTGTAGCAGAAAAATTGGGGGAACCTAACAATTGCCGATCTATGAACTTTTGACTAAATGAAACTATTAAATTTCAGCTGTATCCCAAAGAATTCTCTTGCTATCACTTCAGAAAAAAATCTTAAACCAGGCTTATATATAGTGGTGTGGTAATGGACAGGAATGTGTTACATTTGGAGTATGTGGCAAAAATTATTTTTTCAGGCCAGCTTGTCCAAAAACGTGAAAGTTTGGTTCTGCTCACACCCTTGTTCCAGAAATTTTGATGGAAACCAGGATTACCACAGCATACAATCATTTATCTCAACTGCACACAAGTAAAGAGCAAAAGGAAAGAGAGATTCAGAAGACTATAATAAATGAAGATAACTTAGAAAGGTGTGTTACTGAAAGGGAGACTTGATTACAAGGACAGGCATTGGAGCAGCAGAGCCACAACATCCTCATCTTAAAGTGTTAAAAATCCTCAAAACAGTGTACTGTGTTCTGTTCTTTAGTAGCCAGTAATGATTCTGCACCATGGTGTGCAGTGTTTCAGAGACCAGAGTAGTCCTGAAAATATTATTTGTAGGGCAGCTAGTTGACACCTACTCTTTGAATTTTTCATTCAGATCATATGTAACATTATTCTTGAATGATTACCATTTACTTGTGCATGCTGTTAGCCTATGTAAACATTTTATTTTATTACAGTTAACCTCATCCTTCCTCCCGTCTTCCTACCTATTGTTTGTTACACTCACTTGTCTTTTGATGAAATTAAGGACCACAACTACCAATGTGTTTTATGGTTCCTAGCACAATGGGGCACTTGTATTCTGAGTAGAGTGGAGAGTGTGTGTGTCTTTTTTATATTGCTATAATATGTATATAACCTATAAAACAATACATAATAGTAAGAAATATATTTTGAAGTGATCAAAAGCTTGTATAAGATAACAGAGTTCTGAGAGTAGAAAAGCTTCAACTGATATTAGTTTTGGGCCACATTTTCAAATGTTCTCAGTATCTAGTTATGACCAGATTTTCAGAAGAGCTCATCTCCCATTTAGGCACCTAAATGAAGTGGGCAGATTTTCAAATTATTCTCAATGGCAGATGTTTTGTGTTGAGTACTTTCCAGAATCTGCCTGTTTCATTTAGGTGGCTAAGTGGGAGATGAGATCTTTTGAAAAGCTTTGTATCATTGTTGTCATGAAAATTATTTTTCCTTTGAATTTGTCCAAGGGTGTGTGGGATTTTTTAAAATCAAAAGATGATAAAATTATGTCTAGTATATTTGTAATTTTGCATCCAAAATCTGACAAGTCCTTAATTTTCCCTATGCTTCTGTTCTGTTTCAGGCTATCACTATAACGATCTTGTATCTCCACAATACTTGAACCTGATAGCTAATCTGTCAGGCTGCACAGCCCATAGACGAGTGAATAACTGCTCAGATATGTGCTTTCACCAGAAATACAGGACACATGATGGAACTTGCAATAACCTGCAGCATCCGATGTGGGGAGCCTCTTTGACAGCCTTTGAACGTTTGTTAAAGTCAGTCTATGAAAATGGATTTAATTTGCCTAGGGGCATTGGACCTAATAGACACTATAATGGATACACGCTCCCCATGCCTCGCTTGGTTTCAACATCTCTAATAGGAACTGAAACAATAACCCCTGATGATCAGTTTACTCACATGCTAATGCAATGGGGTCAGTTCCTTGATCATGACCTTGACTCTACAGTTGCTGCTCTTAGTGAAGCCAGGTTTTCTGATGGTCAGCACTGCAGTTCAGTTTGTACCAACGATCCTCCATGTTTCTCAATCATGGTACCTCCAAATGACCCCCGAGTTAGAAATGGTGCACGGTGCATGTTTTTTGTACGCTCCAGTCCTGTTTGTGGAAGTGGCATGACATCTCTTCTGATGAATTCTGTTTACCCACGAGAACAGATTAACCAGCTGACTTCGTATATTGATGCATCCAATGTGTATGGCAGTTCAGACCACGAGTCACAAGAAATCAGAGACTTGGCAAGTCAAAGGGGTCTTCTGAGACAGGGCATTGTACAGAGATCTGGCAAGCCGCTTCTTCCATTTGCTACTGGCCCACCAACAGAATGCATGAGAGATGAAAATGAGAGCCCAATTCCTTGCTTCTTAGCTGGGGATCATCGTGCTAATGAGCAACTGGGTCTCACCAGTATGCATACATTGTGGTTTAGGGAACACAACAGAATTGCTACAGAGTTACTGAAACTCAACCCACACTGGGATGGGGACACAATATATCATGAAACACGCAAAATTGTTGGTGCAGAAGTGCAACATATAACATACAACCATTGGCTACCTAAGATCTTTGGAGAGGTAGGCATGAAGATGCTTGGCGAATATAAAGGTTATGATCCCAATGTTAATTCTGGCATAACTAATGAGTTTGCAACTGCCGCTTTTAGGTTTGGTCACACACTTATCAATCCCTTACTCTATCGGCTGGATGAAAACTTTGAACCTATTCTACAAGGCCATATACCTCTTCATAAGGCATTCTTCTCTCCCTTTCGGATTGTAAATGAAGGAGGCATTGATCCACTTTTAAGGGGATTGTTTGGTGTTGCTGGTAAGATGCGAGTACCATCACAGTTACTCAATACAGAATTAACAGAGAGACTATTCTCCATGGCACGTACCGTGGCTTTAGATCTGGCAGCTATGAATATTCAGAGAGGCAGAGATCATGGAATTCCTCCCTACCATGATTTTAGAGTTTACTGTAATCTTTCTTCAGCTCATACTTTTGAAGATCTGAAAAACGAAATGAGGAATCCTGAAATCAGGGAGAAACTTAGCAGGTGAGCTTGAGGTGAAGGTGAACTGTTAAAAATTCAAATATACTTTTATATCTAAATGTGCATGTGAAAATAATAGTTATTTAAATGTCTAACCTAGAAGGAAGTATTTGTTAGGAAAGGGATAAAGGAATCTCCAAAAGACTTCCTGTCAACATCAGGAGATATATATAGGGGGCTCAGGGTTCCCCAATACCTGCATAAGCTACAGAATGTCTTTTCCCCAGTGAGACTTATAGAGATCTGATTTCTCCACTCCACCAGGAAGAGAATGCTCAAGGTGATTTAATACCACAGTCATTTTTGCTGTGAATAGTTCATATCCATTACCCTTATTTTTGTCATAATACTGAATGCTTTTATAAATGTATAATTTTAACATAACTGTTTGTGTTTCTCTTGTTATAGGCTCTATGGTTCACCTCTGAACATAGATTTATTTCCTGCTCTTATGGTAGAAGATTTAGTTCCTGGTAGCCGATTGGGGCCAAGTTTGATGTGTCTATTGAATACACAGTTTAAACGTCTTCGAGATGGAGACAGGTAAAGCCAAAATGTCCGTGGAAAACTTAAGTGATTTTAGAATAGATTTATTTATTTTTTTAAATTGTTGAATGACTTTTTTTCAAATGCAAACTCTGTTTTCTTTTTTTTTTTTATGATCTGAATATAGAAATGAAAGAGATAAAAAAGCTGATTTTATAGTTTGTCAAAGCAGCTGAAATAACAGCTATGCTTAGTTATTTTTAAGGCCTGTTATCTTTTATGGTGAAAATAGCATATAAAGCTCCAACAGACAGTACAGAGTAGCTGACTGAGCAGGGGACTGGGACCCAGGAACTCCTGACTTTCCTATTTCTGACATTGTTTGACTGCCCTTGTGCAAATTACTGTTAAAACTACTTCACTGTAAATTGAAGAAAATAATCTTTCTTCAGTGATTGTCCATGTGTATTCCACTTCTGATGCACACATGCATCCACATGCATGAGATTGGATTCTATTGGCCAGCAGTGTCCACTGGGGCCTTTCCTGCACTCTTACTGCCTATGGCTGCGAGATGGAAACCTTGCAATGTCCAGTTCTCTGCATACTGTGCAACTTTCCTAGTAGTGTGTGTGTGTGTGTGTGGCTAGTTAGCTAGTAATACTAGCATAGTTATTGTAGTGATTTTTGTTTTTTACAACCTCTTAGCTATATGTAAAAACAACAACAACAATCTCTCTATTAGTGTTTGGGATTTTTCCCACCCTAATGGGGATGAGCTGCTATGGCTGAAATTAAGCCTCTGGGCTTCAAAACTTGCCCTTCCTATGAAGCAACTATTTCATTTAATGACAGACACTCAAGGTGCCTCTTTTGTTTTGGAGAGGATCGTTTGCTTGATAGATTCTAGATCTGTTGCTTCTTCTCCAAAAGGATGTAGAAAGCAAGAGAGGCCCATCTTAAACGTTTTCGCACTCAATGTGAGCTTCCTCAGAACTGAAGGGAAAAAAAGGCCAATTAGGCCTCAGCAGGATTCCTCAGTCAGTGCTCCTTTGACCTGCTGCCCAACTCCGCTCTTAGGCTCACTCTTCAAAGAAAACTTAATCCACTGAGGCCAGCAGAGCAGCTAAGTCATGTCCTTCACTTAGTTATCTGAAAGGAGTTGGAAGGGGCATAGTTCCCACAGTAAGTACAGGCCTTGGTTACCCTCCCTGGAACCTAATAAAAGGAGGCATAGATCTCTCACTGCTCAGCCAAAGGGTAGTTCAGAGCACAAATTTGGTGCCTCTGACAACCTGGCAAAACCTGGTCCCCGAGCCCATAGGGCGCTGTCTCAGGCAGCGGTCCACATTTTGCTGGTACCAGCCTCTCAGCAGTAGTATTGAAGCACACAGTGCCAGTGACTCTGGTGCTGAATCTTGCAGCACAGATGCTCCTGGCACTGACTTTCTTGGCAGCAAAGTTATTCTTGGTACTGAGTGATCTGGCAAGAAAACCTAGCTCTGCTACCACCACTAGATATAGATCTCCCTTCCCTGTGAAACCTGTGGTTCCTTGAGAAGGACATCTGGCACTGACTCACATTATACCCCAGTAAGAATGGGAAAGTGAGGAAGAACACCTGCAAATGGAGAAGCACTAGATCTCAGCAGTGATCTCCTCTTCCTCACCAGATGAAGCAGTTGTGCACTCCATGTCCATTCAGTCTGACTATTTCAAAACATTTCAGGAACTTCTGCATCACATGGCAGACACATAAATTCAAGAATTTAAAGAGGAACTAAAGTCTTTTGTAGCTGAGGGACAACTGGTAACTCATACATCCCTGCAGGTAGCATTAGACGCATTGGACATGGCAGCACAATCAATGACACACTCCACTGCCATGCACAGGGCTTCCTGGTTGCAGCCTTTGAGAGTACTAAAGGAGGTCCAGACAACTACTGAGGTCCTCCCATTTGAAGGTTATGACTCAAAAACTGATAAAGTCCTATGCGTTGCAAAAGATTAAAGAGCTATTGTCCATTTCTTGGAGGCTACACGACAGCCCCTAAGACAGAGCAGGCCTGGTCACAAGCCACTCTAGATAAAGTTTTTTAATGTATTATTATTGAAGATACTGTCTACATCAGTAGCAAGCATGTTCCAGATGCATGGAAGAAATCAAAAACAATACTATTGATGAAGAAAGGCAATCCAGAAGAACTGAGAACTACCATCCAATTGCATTCCTCTCACAAGATCTTCACCTGTGACACACTCAGTTGGATTAAGAAGGATCTTGAAATGCACGAAAGCAGAGAACAAGCTGATTTCTGCTCAGGGTATTCAACAATTGATCACATCCACTCAATTTGGCAGCCCATTAAAAAATGCAAGGAATACAAAGTTCAATTGTGTCTTGAATTTGTCAACTACAAAAAGGCATTCGACTTGGTGGAGATTAACACTGTACTCAACGCACTCAACAATATCTGAATCAACTAGAGGTACATTGACATGTTGGAAGAAATAAACTGCAATTGTTCGACAGAGATAAGTTTATTCAATGTCCTGTGCATTATTATTATTCATAGAGGAATCAGACAGTCACTGAAGCTGACTGAAGCTGTTTTCAGCAGTACTGGAATTGCAGTTAAATTGTATGGGGAAGAAGGAATCAGAAATGACAGAGAACAGTTAATGCATATTTTCTTCACCGACAGTTGGGTAATATTGGCAAAGGAAACAGCAGAACTGGAGAACAAATTGCAGCAACTGCAAACACTTTTGCATGATATCAGGTCGGAAGTGAACACTTGAAGACAAAGTGGATGCGGAGCATTGTTTAGCAGGAATCATCACTGTAAACGGGAAAGTAATCAAGAAGGTCGACAAATATATTTACCTGGGTCAGCAGGTGAACAGAGACAACTCATTTGAAGTGGAAAGTAGTAGGAGGAGAAAGGCAGGGTGGGCAAGTTTCAACAAAATAAAGATGTCTCTAACGGAGGATGAACTGCCCATGAAGAAAGAACTGTTTAACTCCACTGTTCTGCCAGCAATGATATATGGAGCGGAAAGCTGGTCAACAAGGAAAGTGGAGGAAGAAAAATTCACTGTCACCCAGAAAGCAATGAAAAGGCGAATGTGTAAGATATTGCTCTGTGACAACATACCAAATGAGAAGATTAGAAGGTGTCCAGAGGTGTCCGATGTAGTGCAGGCGATGTACAATGCAAAGCGGAGATGGGTGGATCATATAATCCATAGGGTAGACAACAGGTGGACAACCTGCATCAGTGATTGGATCCCCAGAGACCACAAGCAACCGCTGGACAGAATGAAAACACGCTGGGCTGATCCCATGACAAAACTCTTTGGCCAGAAATGGAAGAACGTGCTCACAACAAAATGGGATGGTGTGGCGTCGACTTGCGTTCGTGGAGAGATGGATGAGGACAAGCTGGACAAAGGTGACAAAGGTGATTATAACCCACAAAGATCACCTGAGCCACCAAGGAAGAAGCAAAGTTTCCAACACAGAGGCTCTCTTCCTCTGATGCTGCACCTCTAGTTCTGCCTCATGGCAGCAAGTTTGACACCATCACTGAGAGCCATATAGAGCGGTTGGAGGATCTATACCCTTCTTGCCACCCCCACTTCTGGCAACCACTTTTTTTATTTTTGAGAGGCTTGGAATTGAATTAACTCAAACCACTGGGTTTTAGAGATTAACAATGTGAGGTATTATTCATTTGCAGTCCCTTCCTAACCCTCTTCAAGGACTCCTCTTACAAAAAAATGTTAAAGTAAGAAGTGAACTCCCTTCTAAATCTCTAAGTAGTGGAAAAAGAGCCTCTGGACTTAAAAGAGAAATGGGTTTTGCTCCCATTATTTTATAATCCCTAAAATGAAGGGGGACAAGCATCCAGTACTAGATTTGAGACAACTCAAACAGCTTCATCTGCCGTTTCAAATTCAGTATGGTAACTCTAGCCTCTATACTCTTATCCTTAGATTCTCAAAAATCATTCACAGCTCTCAATTTACAAGACACATACTTTCACATATCAATTCACCTGGCACACAGAAAATAACTAAGAGTCCAAGTGGGAACTTCCCACTACCAGTACAAAGTCCTTCCCTTTGGTCTTTCAACAAAACCAAGAGTATTCAGCAAGTGATTGGCAAGCTCATCTTAGGAAGCAAGGGATCTAGGTATGCCAGTACCTCAATGACTGGCTCATTCGAGGAAGATCACCATGGCAAGTGAACGATTCTATTCACTTAGTCCTACATCTTTTCACCACACCAGATCTCAGAATCTACAAAGGAAAGTCAATCACTGTTGCAAACCAGAGACTAGAGTTGTCAAGGTTCCTCCCCCACTCTGAACTCTAGGGTACAGATGTGGGGACCTGCATGAAAACCTCCTAAGCTTACTTTCACCAGCTTAGATTAAAACTTCCCCAAGGTACAAATTAATTTTATCCTTTGTCCCTGGATCTCCACTGCCACCTCCAAACTCTAACTGGGTTTACTGGGAAACGTAGTTTGGACACGTCTTTCCCCCCAAAATCCTCCCAACCCTTGCACCCCACTTCCTGGGGAAGGTTTGGTAAAAATCCTCACCAATTTGCATAGGTGACCACAGACTCAAACCCTTGGATCTGAGGACAGTGAAAAAGCATTCAGTTTTCTTACAAGAAGACTTTTAACAGAAGTAAAGAAATCCCCTCTGTAAAATCAGGATGGTAGATACCTTACAGGGTAATTAGATTCAAAACATAGAGAATCCCTCTAGGCAAAACCTTAAGTTACAAAAAAGACACACAGACAGGAATAGTCATTCTATTCAGCACAGTTCCTTTCTCAGCCATTTAAAGAAATCATAATCTAACACATACCTAGCTAGATTACTTACTAAAAGTTCTAAGACTCCATTCCTGTTCTATCCCCGGCAAAAGCAGCATACAGACAGACACAGACCCTTTGTTTCTCTCCCTTGTCCCAGCTTTTGAAAGTATCTTGTCTCCTCATTGGTCATTTTGGTCAGGTGCCAGCGAGGTTACCTT